GTGGGTAGATTACATATATTTAAGATGATACAAGAGTAATTTAAATATTTAGATAGTTAGATTAATGAATTAATGTAAGCTAATAAAGAGATAAGGAATTAAGAATAATAAATGAGAATATAAAATAAATAATTATTAGAGGATTTGGAATCATGGAAATCTAGATATAAGTTACTTTAAGAGTCTAATTCAAAGAGTTCAGGATTAGATGAAGAAATAAGATAGTTGAAAAAGAAGATAAATGAATTATCTGAAGATTTAGCAGGGAGTCATGAATAAATTTAATAGAGAGATAATGAGATATTGAATTTGAAATAATTATTACATGATAAAGACAATGAATTAGATTAATTGGATGCTCGTATAAGGGAATTGGAAATGATGTGTGAGAATTATTCTTAATCAGAAACATAAATTATAAGTCTTTAAGGAGAAGTAGAATTATGGAAGAAAAAGTTTAAATAAGTGAATGAATAGAATTCAGATTTAGCAGAGAAGTTGACAATGGCTGAAACATAATTAGAAGCTATAAAAAAAAGATAAGTAACAGTCACAAAAGAGACTGAAGTAAGAAAGAGTGGTACTCATGGAGGAGGAACAACATCAACATATGAATAAAATGTAATAAAAGGTGCTTAATTATTACATCCAAGAGGTTCATAATATTTAAAATGAATATTTTTGAAAAAACAAATTAAATAAAATCTTTTTTTATTTTTTTATCATGGGTGTTGGTAAACCTAGAGGTATGAGAGCTGGAAGAAAGCTCAAAGATCATAGAAGAGTTAATAGATGGGCTGATAAAGAATATAACAAGGCTATGATTGGATCAAGATATAAAAATCCATTTATGGGTGCATCACATGCTAAAGGATTGGTTGTTGAAAAAATTGGAGTGTAATTTATAATATTCTATTTTAGTGAATCTAAATAACCAAACTCTGCTGTCAGAAAGTGTGTTAGAGTATTACTAAAGAAAAATGGTAAAAAAATATCAGCCTTTGTTCCAAAAGATGGTTGCTTGAACTTTTTAAATGAAAACGATGAAGTAACAGTAGCTGGATTCGGAAGAAAGGGACATGCTGTTGGTGATATTCCAGGGGTCAGATTCAAGATTATTGCTGTTAAAGGAAAATCATTACTTGCTTTATGGTTGGGCAAGGTTGAAAAATGATAGTACAAATATTATAAATATATATATATTAAAGACCTCTTAAAAGTTCACAATTTTATTTTATTTAATTCAATCCCCATCATCCTCAAATTCTTTATTTAACATTAATATATTTCTGAATGAAGCCAGATGAGATAAAATAGAACCATCTTAAAAACTTAATGAAATTTTCTCATGTGAAGCCTAAATTTTAATTTCATATATCAATCAATATATACTTTAGCATCTTTTGGAACCAATCTGTTTATCTCTCCAATCTATCTCTATGGAAAACCTTGCATCAAGCAAGTTCCTCCTTTCTATGCAATTTTTCTATATAAAGGTTTATGCAAATACAAATTAACTATTTCAACCTTCTAAGTTTGACTAAAAAATGATAGTTACAATGAATTATTTTTTCATAATTAATTCTTATCATTTACGTCCTTTATAACAAATTTTTAATTTGAATATACCATTTTCATGATTCCCTTTGTATTTTCTATAATTTAATTTCTTATATATATATATTCATGATAATTTGCAACTGGCAATTCTTTATATTTTTGGTGTTCAATACTTAATTATTTGTTGATTTATATATAAAAAGAATTGAAAATTATGTTTGGTTTATGATCTCCTACAAAACTTGCATTTATTTACATTGAACACTTTTCTTTTGATAATATTAAAATAGATTGTATTTCTAATTTAGTGTCATATCATGTAAATATTAGGATTATAAATGTAAAAATGATAAAATTTATAATTTAATTAATTATATTTGGCTTCAAAATTTATAATTTGAAATGTGAAAAGGAAACATCAAGTGTTTAAAAATAAATATTCTTCTATGTAATTTGTTCTAATCTCATTTGATATTAATTTTTGATTGCTCTGATAGAACAATTGATAACCGACATTCAATATATTATGAAATATATATAAATAAGGATCCAATAATATTTTATTATAATTCCTTAATTTGTAAATTCTATAATATTTCTTATATTTGATGATATTATAGTTTAATCATTATTTAAAAAAGAGAGAGTAATAATAAATTAAATATATAAATTTTTGAAGATGATAAATCGATCACCTACAATGAAATCATATAATAAATAAAATCAAAGCTAAGATCCTTTACTCATTTTAACCCCTCCAAGTAGTTTACGTGAAATTAGTTGTTCATTTAGAGGTAATCTAAATCGACATGCAACAATGTTTAGTAAGAGAAATAAATAAGAATAATAAGAAGATTAATAATAATAAAGATAATATAGGTTGTAATTGCAAAAATTATATCAAGAAACATTTATTAAATAATTACTCGATAAAGCTAAGCCAATTAGCAAAATGAATAATTATTAAAAGTAAGTACTTGATGACTTGTAATTTGGTTAGGATACATAAATAGATGATATAGATAGTAGTTGTTATAAATTTATGTTCAACTATTTCAACAATTATCCTATTATATAACCGTAAAGCAATTTAAAACTTTGTTCAGATATTATTTTCATTATAAACACATTGATAATATTGTTATGGTTGCCATTTAAATATTCTTTTGAATTTGATTCGATTCTATAAATATTAAATTATAATTATTACTATATAATTGAATACATACTCATTGTGATATTGATATTTGAAATAATTATCTAATTTAATTAGGCTTACATATTTAAAGGGAAAGTAATTAAGTAATAAATTCTTATTGTATTAGTTAGCATTATCATATAATATATAACTATTTAAAATAAGACATGATAAAAGATCTTATCTGTTTAATTTCCTTGATAGTACTGTTATTTCAAACCTTTAAGACTGGAGAATTGAACATAGTTTTAATATGTATTTTTGGACTTCTTCAAGGATCAAAATTATTGAAGGTTGTAAATAATACTCTAGAATATTTTAATATTTAGTAGAATAATTTAATTCCATTGGTCATAAATTTAATTGCAGTAATATATTTAATTCATCTTGTATCTTGCATATAGTATACTTTAATAAAGGATATGAACAATATAAAATCGAATGTAATTTAAGAATATATTGAATGTTTTAATTGGGCATCCATTTATTTAACAAGTGCAGGATTTTCAAATATAGAATCTAGTAATAATGAGTAATTGATATTTTCATCATTAATATCAATAATATCTATATTAATAGATGGATTTATTACTATAAAAATAGGTTTATATTTATATAATAGTACCTAAAGAATTAAGCATAATTAATACATTAATATGATGACAAATTATATGAATATAAATAGCATACATTTGAATTTACAACATAGAATCCGTAGTTATTTATAATACATTTATAAAGTAATTGAAATATAATAAATTAGTAAGAACAATAAATGAATGATGAAGATATTACTTAAATAATGGGTAAATTGTCATACTAATTAAGAAGTGAATTGAAAAATTAATTATAGGCGAATATTTTAGAATAATGTAAAATGATATCTTCAAATTTCTCATTTAAATTTAGGAAATAATTAGTATATTATATGGAAGAATTGAAGACAGTACCTGAATAAAGAATTTTAACATTAAATGAATAAGATGATAGTTCAATATATTTTATCAATAAAGGTGAAGTGAATGTGATATTTGAATAAACAAATAATATGCATGAGAAATATACTCGTAATCAAATAAAGATATTGCAAAAAGGAGAGTACTTTGGATTTTTAGGATTTATAACTGGAAATAAAAGAACAGCCACAATAATAAGTAAAGGATTCTGTTAATTGTACAAAATATAAAGACAACATTTTGTAAATTTACTTGAATAATTTCCAGATGACAAAGAGAAATTCTATATGATAAAAGATAAGGTTTAATTTCAATAAGATCTATCTATGCTTGATGTAAAATGTTATAGTTGTAAATCAACTAATCATTTGGTTAATTAATGTCCATTCCTACATTTTTAACCTGATAAAGATAGAGTAATCAAATAATAATTGTATCCAATTTATTAAGAAAGAGAAGAAATGTAAATTAATTAAAGATATATATATCTATAGATAACGTAAATCCAAGTACATAAATGCTTTGTTATAATAAGCAGTAATTTAAGATTTAGCTAAAGAATTAATGAATGATTTGGAAAATGTTGAAGCAAGTGAAAATATATCAGAAGGTGAATCTGAAGATATTCATACAAGAACTATTAAAAGTATTATTTAAATTGTTTAATTAGGCACTTCGAATGTCCAAACAAAAAGTCTAAGCAAATCATTTAGTTAATATAGCAATCAATTAAGTAAGTTTAGTCATAGACCTTCCTAAACATTGACAGTAGCATTAAGTTAAAATTATCAATCCTAAAAATCTCAAGAAGAAATAGGAAAATTTGAATAAGAAGTGATAAAGAAAACGTCATTGCATCGAAAGTCTTAATAAAAAGAAACAGCAGGTTTTGGAGCAAAATTTGAATCATAAATGCATAATCCAATCTAAGACAATGATGAAGATATACCCAATATTGATATAATAGATGATGAAATCTAAGTGTTATAATAAGAAAGTTAAAGACCTGGTCAATAATTATATTATTCAGATAGAAGTCCTAGAGTTTACAGAAGGGTCTAATAAAAAGTTACATTTGATTAAAATCTATTTGGAATGAAGAATAGAAGGTCAAGTTTAATTTATGAGAATTATATTTAACAAATGTATGAGGAAGAACATTATCAAATCGAATTTGTAAGATTAATTTAATTATTTACTTTAGCCAATCATAACTTAGCCTTCTGTAGGAGACTTCGATAAAATCTGTGAGTTCAGAGAATATTATCCAGAATATAACATTTCTAGAGTGATTAGGTTTCTGTAGAGAGTGACTTAGATATATCATAGGCAATAGACAAATTCATTATATTCATTTTTATTTATAGCCATATAAAAAGGATATGCCATGAAAGACAAATTACATCATCACTTTCAAAGCAGAAACAATATCAAATCTAATTCTAATAGAAGAATATATAAGTATTTTATATTATTATATATTAATTAGGAAAGGTAAAGTCAAAACAGTTTTATTTTGAAATAAATAATCATGTTTTTATTTATATTTATAGTTTATTTTACTAAATGACAAATAATATAAAATATGCTAAAAAGAGATAAGAAACAAAAGGTTGACAAGATAGTTTAAACTAATATGGAGGAAGATCCAAGACAATTCTATTTGATTGACACTCAAGAAGAAGTGAGTGGATAAATTTTAGAACGATTAAGATAATAACCAATTGTCTAAATGAAGAAGGTACCTTTTGATAAAGAACATGGAAACACAATTGATAGTGTTCCTATTAACATTAAATCACATGTTAAATCAGAAAACGAATTATACTTTGAATTACAATACTAAAATCCAAACTTACTACCATCTTATTATCCATTCTATTTTTTAAGAGAGAGATTTCCAAAATTGTTAATTGAATATTATAAGAATAATAGTGTTTTAATATTGAAATGAAATCTAAAATCATAATGATTTCTTATTAACTAATTTTCCATTATCATAAATATTTATACAATATGGTTTATCCTTTAATAACTTGAAAACCATATGTTCACCATGTTATTTACCTTAAACAAACTCACCAATCTCTCTTATACCATTCACAACATCAGTAAATATTCCTTATCCATGTCTTTGTCCATCTTTATAAATCCCTTCAAAAATGTTATCATTTATGTATTTATATACTCCTTATCCTTCCTTTTTATCATTCAAGTATTCTCCTGTATAACTAACTAAATTATTACTCAATACATGTCGCCATTAGGAAATTTGACTATGGCACTTCCATGTCTCAACCCACATTTAAATTAACCAACATACAATTCTCCATTTTTATATTGATATGATCCTATTCCTTCTTTTCTATCCTATACATAATCTCCTTCATACTCATCTCCATTTGCATACTTATACAAACCTTTACCATTAAATAGTCCCATTTTCCATTATCCTTAATATTCATCTCCTGTAGTATATCTCATTATTCCAAACCCTTCTCTTATATCATTCTTTAAATCCCCTTGATAATAATCTCCTTTGAATTAGGCTTGAATCCCTCTACCTTCTATTTTACCATTTACCCATTTCCCCTATTTAATCCAGTATCGCTTTTTCTAATCTACGATTAATTATTAACCCCAAACAAAATTATCCTCTCTAAAAACACCATATTAATAAGTCTAAGCTGTTTTATTAAATAATAATCCTATCATAAAATAATATAATTCTTTACCTCTACCAAATTTTTTGTCTTTTTTGATTTCTCCAATATAAAAATCTTCATTTTGATATACAATTTTATTAACATCAGGACTTCGAGTCAATAAAAACTCAGGTTAAATCCAATCATATTTAATTTCATGAGATTGAACAAAATTTTTCAATTATTCATTATAAATATTCTTTTCCAGAATTTCATTAATATCCAACAACTTAATTTTTTCATTTAAATCATTACTAATTTTTACCAAATCTTATATTCTCATTCTCTAACCTATAAAATTAGTTATTTCTTCAATATTATCTAAGACTCTTTCATCATGAAATGTTGCTAATAATTCACATTATTCATTTGTAAATTAATTAATATTTCCTTATTATAAAATCACAAAACTATCTGCTAAATCTTCCAACATAGAATACAATTATTGTATATCATGAATATAAAATTAAAGCAATTTTTCTAATTATTCATTGATATTCTAAACTACTGATTTAAATTAATCTGCTTTTTGTTATAATATTATAGTAAGTTGCAATTTATCAAATTTAGTAATTGAATCCTTACATAATTATTGAATTTATGAAATTGTTTTAACATCTTTGACATGATCACTATGATAATCCTGATAGCAAAAACAACACATCAACCTTTTATCACAATGAGGGTTTAAACAAATAGCTATTAATTTGTTAGATCCTTAATCATGTTGTCTTTCACATTTTTTTTCAGTTTTTATATATGATTATGATTATTGCATTAATATAATTTTATTTTCAATAATTTAATAGATAAATAATTATTATTTCAAATTAATTATTGCATTTTAACTACTACTCAAATGCAAAAATATATTTTAAATAAACTATACATCTCATTATTCAAGTGGAACATCATATTCAAAGTCTTTTGTAGTTAATCCTTTACATTAATACTATCCTTCTCTAATAAAATGCCCTCTAAAATATCTATAATTTTTATATTTCTTTTTTGTTTCACTCATTTTCTTTGGTACTTTTATCTATTTTACTAAATCTTCCTCTTCTAATTGATAAACATATGGATTCTATTATTCTTTTTTTTTATTCTTTTCTTCATCATTTCCTTATTTCTAAGAATTTCTTTTTTTCTTTGGTTTTAAAAGTACTGAAAACTATTCATTTTCATTATTATTAGATTCATTAAATAATTAGAGTTTTCTTGAATAATCATTTTCTAATAAAGTCAATTTATAAATTGGACATTGTTTGTTTTATTCAATTGTTTTATACAACATTGGATGAAATGTTAATTAATTTGCATTATTAGTAAAAAATCTATTAATCCTTCTAAATTCTTCCATCAATTATAAATAAAAATAGATCTTTTTAAATTGATGTCTAGTTGTTATTTTTGAAAATTTACTATATCTCTCCTCTCTTGATTCAGAAAAACAACTAGCATAACATTTTAATAATTCTTATAATTTCATTGCACTTTCTCTAAAATCTATTACAAAATAATCATCTTTATATTCTTATATGTCATGATCCAAAATTCTTAACATTGATAATACTGTTATAGGTTATATCATTGTATGTTTTTAATAAAAATCAGATCTCCTTAATGACTTTATCACTGAAAATATATAACAATCCTTAAATCCTAATAATCCTGGTTTCAACCATGTTTTAACATAATCAGCATATCTAGTTGAATATAATTATATTCCTGTCAATCTTTTGAATTCATGTTTTGCATATTCCATATTACCTCTTGTTTTTATAGCTGTTTCAAATAATGTAGCTAATTATTCCTTAGACATATTTTCATTGTAATCAACAAAAGATTCCCATCTAAATATATTTAATCAATATTTCTACGCTCTTTTTAATCTATAAGCCTTCTCAATCTTTATTCCAACTTGAGCTTCTAAATGTCTTGCAACTTATCCCCAATTTTTACAATTAGGTCCACCATGCACATCTACTATTTAAACTAATTCTTTAGATATGCTTAAGTATTTCCCTTTACTCTTTTGTCTATCCTTTTATCTCATTAGAATAAGTAAAATTATTCATTATTTTTCCCCTTTCTATTTCGCATTTTAATTTTTGTCAAAAATATAATAAACATTATTATAAAAATAACACTAAATCTCCTTTTACATATTTATATATAAAATATTTATTTATTTATATCATAATACTCTATTCACTATTTTTTAATACATTACTTAGTTATATAATATTATCTTAAATCATAAATTAACTATGAAATGCTAGTAATAAATATTTATAAATCAATATTATTTTTAGTATATAAAATATGAAATTATTTAATATATATTAAATTAAATATATTAAGTGAATTAAGCAAAATACAAATTAATTAAATATCAGCATGTTTGTCTTTCGATAAATGCCTTATTTATAACATTCCATATCTTGGAATGTAAAAAACAAAAAGTAGTTCCTCCTCTTTTATTTTAGGTTGTCATTCTATTCAAATCAGACATACAAACATATGGCATTGCACTTTATACAGAAATACCGAATTTTGAATGATCTTTTGTATATTTAAATTTATAACCCTAAAAATAGAATTAATATTATACATTATGATTTCTATAAATATTACTATATGTTTGATAAGTATTTGAACAAGCTGCTTCCTATAAGCCTCCAGTTCCATTTCCCCATGTTTCCATTACTAAACCAACTTTTAAAATAGGAGCAACAATTGTAGCATAAAAGTCATCCGCTAAATTTTAGTTCTTTGAAATAACATGGATATTCATTCCATTCTTGCTCTTAACTTAAGTAGTTCCACTTTATGATGGAATTTTTCTTGAATTATTTCTTAAAGCATAAATATTTGGATAAGTTGACTCAAAAGTACTAATCTCATTAGCCTTTTGAGTTAAGGTTTAAGCAATAATATATTGCTCAGCTACAACATTAATTTGGGATGTTGTCATTGTGACACAAAAATAATGTTATCCATTTACACTAGAACTGCTTGGCATTCCAGGTATAATATTACTAAATTTATATTACTAAAAATTTACTTTTAAGTATCATCAAAGACAGGGAATTATGGTGTTGAATGATTAATAATGAATCCTTATCCATTAGAAGATGCTGATAGTATACCTTTGGAATGAGCTCTATCAGAGATAGTTGATTTTCCATAAGGTTAATCATTCCATACTACATTCATAGTTGTACTTGAAGTAAATGAGATTTGACTCACAGTTCTTTATAAGGGTGATGTATGATCTCTTAAATCATCATTCATTAGATTCATAGTAGAACAGTCATTTTGTGAATCACAATAATAGTATTCAAATCCACTATATGGTATATTAGTATCAGCAGGTAGTTTGAATATCAGCCACCAATCAACTTATGATCCTGTTGTGCTTAAACAACTTTGACTAAAGACCTAAATCACAAGAACTAGCAGAAGGATTTTCATTGTTACAATTATCGTAAAATAATCTTTTGATTTTTTATTATGATATCACTTTATATGTCATCTGACGCACTTTTTATGTAATATAATGTTATTTAAAACCATAAATCATTGTACAATACTATTCAATAAAAATAAATTAAATGACATTTATTATTAATAATAATACAAAGATTTTTAATCATACTATTTTTTAAAAAATTCTATATAATTTATACATTTTTCTCTTTTGATTAATATTTCTGTCGCTCCAAAATTCTCATAATGATATAAATTCAATTTAATAACATAAATGTGCTTTAAATGTTCTATTTATTTATATCGCATCGACTTAGAAATCAAATTTTAGAATTTACATCCTTAATTAAAGATCTCCTTAATAATCACAATTTTAATTTGTATATCTAAGAATTTCTAAAGTTTTAACATAATCATTCTTATTTATGAATATACTAATACATCTAAATGTTTGATCAAATATACAAATATTTCAAATTCATATTTTTGATTACCTTTTGATAATTATCATAAATTACTCAATATAAATATGCTTTCTCAAATATTTACAATCAATACTTAATAATATTCTGAAAATAGTACTTATACTTAACACATAAATTATATTGTTATCAATTTTTTAATTTACTTATGTATAGAATACATACTATGTATTTTATAAATTAAAGTGAAATGTATACATTGTAAATTCATAATGAATAATATCAATATTCTTATCAGAAAATAAAGTTCTAATGGATGAGTAATTTGTTAAAAATAAATAGATAATTAATAATCTTCATATCAAAATACGTCATAGAAAAATACTAAATAAAAATTATGAAAATATGAAAGGAAAAGAGAGTTAATTATTAGAATTGAGTATTTTAGAGTGAAATGGATGGTTATTTTAAGTAAATTGAATATAAATTTTATTGATTATATTTATAAAAATTTGTCAGTTAATCGAACAATCATGTAAAGAAAAATAGAATGCTATAATAAAGGACTTTTTACTTCAATGTCTCAATTTGAACTCAAACAAAGATCAAATGGTAAGACTAGTTTAGGAACTGGATCTTTTGGAACTGTTAATCTGGTATAACATGTTAAATCATAATCACTTTATGCTATAAAATCAATTTAACAAAGCAATATCTAAACTCCATATGAATAGGAAGGAGTAGAAAGAGAAATAAAAGTACATTTAAAGTGTCATCATCCAAATATAGTAAATTTGTATGATAGTTTCATTGAACACGGAAATGTATATATGGTTTTAGAATATGCAGAGAATGGAAACTTATATAATTATGTATAAAGGAGAAAAAGATTAGATGAAAAAGAAGCCTGTAAATACTTTATTTAAACTTGCAAAGCATTGCAATATCTACATGAAATAAATGTATTCCATAGAGATATTAAAGTAATAAATGATATAAACATATATAGCCTGAGAATCTATTATTAGATAGTAATAATGATATAAAATTATGTGATTTTGGATGGTGTGCTGAGAATATTCATCTTAAAAGAAAGACATTTTGTGGAACCTATGAATATATGGCACCTGAAATTGTCTCTGATTCACCATATGATTATAAAATTGATATATGGTCAGTTGGTGTATTACTATATGAATTATTGCATGGATATGCTCCATTTAAAGGGAAAGAGTATAAGGAAATTGCAGCAAATATAAAGAATGGCTTAATACGTTATTCCAGTTCAATAAATACAGATGCTTAAGATCTAATTAAGAATATATTATAAAAAGATCCATCTTAAAGATTATCATTCAAAGATATATATTAATCTCCATTTGTTCAGAGATGTTATCCATAATAAGGATGTAATAATTTTATACAATAATTATAATAGAATTAAAGATATCTTTGTCTCCAAGGTCTAGTTTTTCAGTTGATTAAAATTCAATTTAAAAATATTAATCTCCTTTGATAAGTCATAAATAATAACCAATTGGTAGATTAAATTAAACAAATGGTAATAATTTGAATAATTCATCATCTTTGAGTATTAAATCTCCTAATATATCAAAAACTAGAGTTGATTCAAAGAAATAATAAAATATATTTGATGATATTAAAAAGAAAATCATATATGAATAAACTAGTCCTTTAAGAGATGCAACAAATATGCATAAAAGAAATTAAGCTAGTTTAACTAATTTAATTAAGAATTCTAATACTAAAATTACTTAAATAAAAAGTCCTTAACCTAAAAAGATCTAATTAAGTAAATACTGTTCAAAATCAAGAAATTTTGATGAAAATGGAACTCTTAAATTATTAGATTAATTTAAATCTATGCCATCATTTACAATTGAAGATCAATAGCATACTTTTGAAGAAGAAAACAGATTAAATTTAAAGACTGATAGAGTTATTAAAGGGTAAAATAAAGATTGTATTTCTAGATTCAAAAAAGAATCTCATCAATCTTAAGATTTAGATAAGATACTAAAAATGTATCTAAGTATGTGCAGTAGTAGATAATGAATTGTTGTTTTTATAATTTAGTACTTTATAAATATTTTTCATTTCTAATTATATTCTAAGATCGGTCAAAGAAATTTATTAGTCGTTAAATCTGAAATTATATAATTAAATCATTTACAATAAATAAATATAATATGATATTTTATATAATGATATTCTATATTAAATAGATAGAGAATGTATTAAATGTATATTTATATTGATATAATTTAATCATTTTCTAATCACAATTTATAATTTAATTATGAATTTGTTAAAATAATCATAAACCAAGTCATAAAGCAAATTTAAAAAATGTAAGAAGTTTTTAAGATTAGTTACTAAATAGATGATTCTAAAACAAATTAAAAAATTCATCCTAAACTTATTTAGCTACTAATTCAAATTTGTCCATTTTTGTGAGTTAATTTGAATTATTTCCATTTACAACAATCCCAAAACCGGTAAACATATTAATTCTTATTTAATATTCAATAAATGGGAACTCTAAAAACTTTATTAATTAGCATATATGTGATATTTTTATTATAATATCCAATTTTTATTATTATTCATTTAGTCCATAGATTCTATAAATTAATTTAAATCTCAAGTCATTCTAATTACATTTTTAATATAAAATTAAATCTAATGAATACTCAAGACCATGATGCTGGGGTGAAAACAAGATCAATGAATGTAAGTGAAAGACTAGTAGATATGTCTGCAAAACGAGTTTATTGTCATATATCAAAAGCAAAGAAAACATAGTTAATTCAAACTGTACTGAAATAAAAATGCAAAATTAAGAAAGTAAGATTTTCTAAAAATTTTAGATAGCAAAAGACCTTAATATTAACTATGCTACTGCCAAAACTATACTACATTGCTATAAGAAAAAGGAAATTAATTTGGATGAAGATTCAGAGTTAAAAAGGGCTAGTTATAGTTCATTAAAGAATGACCCTAAATTATACGTTTAAATTAAAGAAGGAGAAAAAGTAATAAACCACTATGAATATTTTGATATGATAAAAAGAAGCTAATGATTTTTTTTTAACTCGTCTTAATTATGCATTTTACTATATATATATACAAAAAAATAGAAAGTTCCTAGAAAAATTAAACGACTAGGACTGGAATCCTTAATGTAATACTTAAATAATATCATAATAAGTAGAGAATTGACTTGATTATTTTATTCCAATATATGTATTTAATAAAACTTAGAATATATTGTCATTTAATGGAATTATTGAGCTTTAATGTTTAATTTATGAATTATATATTCTAAATTCTTTATAGTATTGTTTATTTTGGATTTTATTAAATTATCACAAACTCCTTCAATATTTAAATTTTTAAACAAAAGAACTAAGAATTTGGTAGGAAAGTCGATGTAGAATTGCTAATATATTTGTAATATAATAAATAAAAATATATCAATGTTATATATTTTAAATGCGTCCTTAAAATATGTTACAAAATGACTTGCAAATCAAAAATTATTTTATATTTTGAATTGTAAACAAATATGAATGAGCACTAAAATGATTCATAATTAATTAAGGCTAAAGTAGTCGATATTAATAATCATGTAATAGGTAAGAAATAAAAATAATATTTATTTAGACTTCATTTGTATTGATTACAAATTATTATCTAAAGTAATTCACTAAGCAACATTTTTATTCATTATTGAATAATAGTCATTGAGGGTTTTTTGTCACAAACGATCTTAATAAAAATAATACTAACCTGGAGCTCTTAGCACTTGTTTTACTGGGATTGTTCTAGAATCTGAAGATTATCGTTAATGTGCTAAAAGAAAATTAACTTAAGAAACAGGATTAGAATTAGATTTGACATATTTAAACTCTTTCTATTATGAAAGTAAACAGAATAAAATTTGGGGATAAATATTCTATACATTTTATGATGGATAAATTATCAATTTTATTTAAGACCCAAAAGAAGTTTAAGACATTGAATTGATGTCATATAGAGAGATTATTATAAGAGAATAGAATGGAGAGAAATTCATTCAAGAAAGTATGCAAGCACTTCATTTTTTAAATAAAAGAGTACTTCGTTAATGAAATTAATATAGCAAATCAAGTATTGATTTGTTTATTTTGTCACATGTCTATTTATAGTAAAATATATTATATTATTTTGGATTTATAATGTTTAAATAACATTTTTGAGAATATTTTTAGAAATAATATTTTATAAATGATGAATTATTTAGTATAATCATTGATTTATTTTATTTATCTTTTAATGACTAAGTTTAATAAAAATTGATATTAGTTTAATTAATTAGATTATATTGGTTGATAAGTTTGATGTAAATTTTTACTATAATTGATTTAAATGTTAGTTTTAATTATAATTATTAAAATACATATAATAATAGTAATTATATTGATGTTACATTGTTGTAGATGCAATAAAAGTCGATCTCCAAAAGATAGGAATAAAAGTAATAGTAAATTAAAAGATCATTAAATTGAATAAAGAATTTAATAATCTAATCATTAATAAGCATACATTACAAAGATTAAAGAGAATGAATAAATGATTCTAAAAATGTACAAAGAATTGTAAGATGAAAATGATAGACTAAAAAGTCTTATAAATTCGTATTGATTATTTGTATTATGGTGTAGATTAGAATAAGAGAAATTAGAATTACAAGAGAAATTCAATTAGTTATAGATTTAAAGCATACAATTTATACCTTAAAGTCATTCTAGATCAATATTAGAGGAGACTAATATGCATTTTAGTACAAAACAATAATCTTTTTAATTTAATGATCCTAGTATTATAAAATATTAATCGTTAAAAAAATTATACGAGGAATTAATTAAAGATAAGGATTGGGATGTTTAAAAAAAGAATTAATATTCATCATCAATATAGTTTCTGAATAATATTCTTTAATAAAAATAAGAAGACTTGGAATTAGCACAAAGTTAAATCATTAAATAGAATAAGATTATTGGAGAATATGAGTTAAAATATAATTAATTATTATGTAATAAATATGATTAATAAATAAGAGGATTACTAATAATTATAATAGGAGTATTATTAAAGAAAGAGATCATTCTAAGAATATAAAACTATAACATTATCATAAGATAATCCATATAATGGAGTAATTTAAGAGGCAATTAAATTAAATCCTTAGAAAATTGTAATAAAAACTATAAATTGATATATATATTTATATTTATAATGATTACTCATAGTGAAATTAAAGAATTTCTACCTTAAAGTGTTAGTAAATAGTATAAAACAGAACCAATAGATTAAAATATTAGTGATCTATCTTTTAGTTTTACACACAGTTTGAAAAGTAGTATTAAACCAAAATTGAATGATTCAATACAATTCGAAACCTAGATATCTTAAAGAATATAAGCAAAACCTCCTTTAACATCTAAAAGTAATAAAAAGTTTTCAATTCCAATAATCAGAGATAAAACATACTTTAATTCTGAATTGATTAGTGATTAAATGTCTACTCCAAGATCAAAATTGTAAGATTGTAAATTTTAATTAATACATCTAAAGCTATAAAATTAACAAAACCAAAAGATAAATAAGTAAATAGTAGTTGATAAATTATCAAAACAATTAAAGTAATCATCAACAATCAATATTTCAAAATCAAAAGAAATGATATAAATTGAATTATTATTGGCTGCATATAATTAATTACACTTAAGTCATTCATAATTGAAATAATAGAATAAGAATTTAGAATAAGAAATATCTATATGGAAATCAAAATATTAAGATTTGGAAAAGAAAACAAAACAAAATATTCATTCTAAAAGTACATCATTATAAGTTTAATTCAATAAGCCAATTAATTAAAATATATAAGAGAGATTAAAAACATAACCTTATTCATCAAATACTTTTAAGTTCTCCTTAACAGACACTATTAAATATTGATTTATTTTATTTATACTATATATATATATATATTTATATATTTTATATTAATCAATATTTTCTTTATCCAAAATTACTTTAATTAGAATATTCTCCATAATTATTTTTCATCTATCTCTATGATCCAAATTATTATTAATTTTATTGCATATAATTATTAGAATTATAAGATTAATTCATTAATTATACTTATTATTAAATTTCAACTCCACTTTTCAATTAACTTTATGTAATCTTCTATTCAGATTATCTTATTGATGCTTTACTATTATTAGTTGTTATACTATTAGATTTCTAAGTAGTTATTTCTGGAGGTGCCAATTTATGAATATTTATATATTCAGGTAAATCATAATTAACTACTTTAAGAAACTCAGAAATAAATCCACCTAATTAAGAACTAAATATTTATAAATTAAATACGATTTCTCAGAATCAAAATTAATTTTTGTTTAATGATGAGTATAACATTCTGTAAATTCTTATGCTTATATAAAATATTGTTCATTTTCTTATTAAGCTTTAGATTTCATAAATGTTAATAATGGCTTCATAAAATTTTAATTCTTTAAGTTATTTAATAATTCAACATGTGATATCCATCTATTTTGTATTGCTTATTAAAAGAATTTAGAATCACGTTTATAATTGTCAATATTTTTTTTATGTTTTCCTTAAACATCTATAAGTAATGAATTGAAATGTTAATCAATAATCTTAATAATTCTCTCCTTCTTTTCTTTTAATAGTTTTATACATTAAATATTTATTTACTCTGCCTTTAATAAAGAATTATTAATATTCTAATAGCAATATGCCAATTTATTAGCTTATAAATATTTCTTATAAAACCTTCATTATGCACTGTCTTTTATACTTTATTTAGGACATTTTATAGAGTATCTAATTTAGGTGAAGATTTGTATTCCTAATGTTCCTGTATATGTTAATCAATACATTAAGGACATAGTGGGAAAATACATTCTTCAAATTAACAAAAGTTTGAATAATCGTAACCTTAATGATTATGACATTTAATCTATTTACAATATTAATAACAAATACTCTATGAATGTTGTCACTATTAAATTCATTACAAGTATCAAGAATTTTAGGAACTTTTAAAATATTTGAATCAAAATTTGATTCAACCATTTAATTCAATACCTCTTATTAATAAGCTATTTATCCTAAAGAAGTGACAGAAACTGGTTATCTCTTCTACATGATTATTATTAAATATTAAATATTATATTTAGTTATAAAATTCATAATTCTAATAGTTAATTGATTTACTCCTTATTACTTTCCATTTCTTCATCCTTAAGCCATTTAGTTCTTTATCCATTTTACCACATTCCTATTCTATATTAGTTTTCACTCTGATAATATATTCCAATACCACATTATTTTCCATTAATCCAAGTTCCTGCATATTTCCGACCATCTCCAAAATAGAATACACCTCTACCTTATTTTTTATCTTATTAATAATTCTTTAATAATCAAACAAAATACTCCTTTATATTATTTTCCATCTGGCCATTTAAGAGTACCTTCTCCATGCATTTTATTATCTAACCAATAACCAATATATTCTCTTCCATCTGGCCATTTATAAACACCAAATCCAGAAATTTCATTATCAATGAAATTACCTTTAATTTAATGATGAAAATTACCTTCATAATTAGCAGTATCAACAAATGTTAATTATCCTTTACCATTCTTTTTACCATACTTATATTGACCTTCATACTTTGCTCCATCAGGCCATACTTCAATACCATAACCATGTTAATTATCATTCAACCATTCACCTTCATATCTTGCTCCATTAAAATGCACATATGTTCCTTTACCACAAGCTGCATCATCAACCCATTCTCCATCATATATATCTCCATCAGCATGAATTAATTTTCCCTTAATATTAAAGAGTCGCTTACTTATCCATTTGATTTATCTTATTTCCATTAACCTTCATATATTGATCCATCTGGCCATATTTATTTTCCATAACCATCTCTCATACCATTAAGCCATTGTCCTTCATATTTGGTTCCATTTGGCATTAACATAATCTAATTAAATTGTAAATGTACTGGAAGTAATTTGCGTTCTTTATTTTAAATAGTTTCTATAACTTATTATGGTATTGGTTATTGAGTTGAAATCAAATTTTTGGAGATATCTTAAATTGAAACTTTACTATGCATTGAATTTTTCATTATGCCTGAGTCTAAATCATCTTGAATAAGTGCATCTATTTTATCTGATGTTTAATCTTTTTAATGTTTATGATGTTTAATGGAAACTTAAATGGATCTGGTAGATATTTTTTATGATGTTAATTCATCTTTTTAACAACATTATGTAGCACATTTACATTAACCCATTTAAATATTTATATATGTAATATTAATATGATAGCTCATCTATTTCTAGCATTGATAATTTTATTGCCCTTTCTTCTTATTTATTTCTTTCTAGCTCTTTTCTTTTTCTTGCTTAAACAATCTAAAACTGCAATGGATTATTCACAATAATGATTAATTGTTTGATCTCTTATAATTGATGTAAAAATCTAACTCTGAGGAATCTAGTTTCTTTGAATTCGTAAAGCCTATAAATAGACTTATGGTGAATATAAATTTGAAGATGACATGAGTCTAGGATAAGGTATTGCAATTCTTCCAATTTATGAAAACACTCTTTACATATTGAATAATAAATAAATAAATAAATAAATAATAAAATATTATAAGAATGAAGAACAATCTCTTTGGAGGAATACCATTCAATTGTGGTGAAAGATATAGGTTGATCAAATTAGTTGGTACAGGTGCCTATGGTTCAGTAGTTCTGGGTTTTGATCAATAAAACTAGAATATGAAAGTTTAATCATACTCCTATATGCATAGGTGGCTATTAAGAAACTAAATTAAATAGAAGATGTCATTGATGCAAAAAGAATAATAAGAGAAATCAAAATATAAAGATCTATGAATCATTAAAATATACTCAAAATATATGACATTATTTATGACAAAAAGACTGATTAATTTGGAGATATCTATATAGTAAGTCCTTACTTTCCAGTTGACCTAGATAAAATTATTAAAAGTAGTCAAGAATTGACAGTAACATAAGTTTAATTTATAATGTATCAACTATGCAAAGGACTCTATTATTTGCATTCATCTGGTTCTATACATAGAGATATTAAACCAGGAAATATATTGGCAAATGAAAAATGTGAAGTTTGTTATTGTGATTTTGGTTTTGCTAGAAAATATGATGAACTTCATGATTAATTTGAAGAGAATATGACTGAATATGTAGTCACTCGATATTATAGAGCTCCTGAAATAATGTTATCTAGTTAATAATATTCAAAACCAGTAGATATATGGTCTTTAGGATGTACATTTGCAGAACTTATGAGTCGTAAAACTCTATTTAATGCTCCAAATTATATTCAAATGATTAAAATGTTCTTTAATATCTTAGGTAAACCATCAGATGAAGAACTAAATCAATTTGTTACTAATGAAAATGCTCATTCATTTCTATAAACTTTACCACCTAAACCAAAACAACCAGCATCAAATAGTGTTCCATATCCTGATCATAAAGCTAGAGATTTACTTGATTAAATGCTTGAAATCAACCCTAAAAATAGAATTACAGCTTAAAAAGTATGCATTATCTTACATTAGTGTTTAGAGCACCCTTTTTTCGAATCAATTAGAAAATAAGCAGAAGAAATTACATTTGCTGGTAATTTAGAATGCGATTTTGAAAATGATGATTCTATTACTTTAAATAATTTGAAATAATTAATTTTGATTGAAATCAACTAAATTAAAGCAAAGAATAATGAAGTATAAATTGATATAGAAGAAGAAATGAAAAGACTTAACCTTTATTGATTTATTTAATTATTAACAAATATTAAAATATTTCATTATTTATTTTTCTTTTGTTTCATCAAAATATCTTATTAATATATATATATATGATATATAAGTAATAATATTTAGATTCTATATATATATTATTTATTGTATAATATGTTTTATATTATAAAAATAATTAAATGTAATTCTATCAGCTTATATAGATTCATAATTTATATCAAATCCTTGAAGAAATGTAATGTGATCTTTAATTAATTAATTTACTAAAATTACTACTAAGAAATAATTATAAGATAAGAATATATAAATTATGATTTCTTAACAATTAAAAGTGGATATCTATGATAATTCAATTCCTAAATATAAAATATAATTGACTAATCGTCCTACTTATGAAAAATAATCAATAAATCTAAGAAAAAAAATGCATATTAGCATACAAAAGGATTCAATTTAAATCTAACAGTTATAGAAATAACAAAATAATTTATGGAGATTAAGGGTTTAGAATACTTAAGAATATCATAATAATTAATCTAATTTAATATAAAGATCAAATACAATAAAAATTGAGAATTCTAATTCATTTAACAGTAAAAAATGTGTCAATCTCATATATAATAGTCCTTTAAATGTAATTAAGTAAAGGGGGAAATCAAATAAAAATAATGTAAAATTTATATGAAATAATTAAAGGAATTTAGATAAATACATAGATCTTTAGATTGTAATAATATGATGGAAATTTTAAATGAGAAAAATTAGATATACAAAAGAAGAACCCTAAGATTAAGTTTGGTTTGATTTATTCATATTTTAACTTTTATCATATTATTTTCTTTGGTATAAGAAGATTGGTTGATGTAGCAATGTTATTCTTTGGAGATATCACTAGATTTGTAATTGTATTTCTTCCATAAAACCTTTATGTATTTATAACAGGAATTTGAGTTTTATCATATGTTTCAACTCTATTCCTCAAAGTTCCTGGTTCTAAAGCAGAATCATTATTCATTCTATTTAACCCCATAAAAAAAGATGTCTCTGATTTTCGAAAAGAATTTTATTTGATAAGTGGTTTTTATTTTTATTTAATAGGACTAAGGGATATTTATGTTGATTCTGTTAATGCAGGTAAAAGAAGTTTATTTGATTATGATCCTCTTAGATTTTTTTTAGGAGACTCTGGATCTATTGGAATAATGAATTATTCATTATCAATGCTAAATTATTATTGTAATTTTATTTTTTTTAATTCTCTAATTGGTGATTCATTAGTTTAATTAAGAATAGCATTCAATTAATAATGTTTACCTTTATAAGGTATGTTATTAAGTGTTCGATATGATTTTAATATTTTACTAGGTCTTTGTATTGATAATTTATTAAAGAATTATTAATTTTTAGGACTATTTGTATCTTCACATTCTTAATCATAATTATCTTCATCAAATTCAACAATTGATATTTTAAAATCTCCTAAATCTGTTTTAGATTGAATTGGAGATTATTTAATTGAATCTTATTGTACTTAATTTAAAAATAGAACAGCCTTAAAGAATTAAAAAAACTAATTTTTATGATAAAACTTTTACTTTTTTTTTTAATTCTTGACAAGTTCCAAATTCTTTAACACTCATAGGAATAGGATGATTAAAATTTCTAGTTATCCATGGATGAACTAATGCTTAAGCAGCTGTATATCGAGAATCTTAATCATATTATAATAATCTTTATAGAAGATCTCTTGCCAATGGTGATGCATGTAAAGGTTGTTCATATTTAAGATCTGGAAAACTATTTATAAATTCCTTTTTGGTTGAAATTCTAGGATAAAATGGATGCTTTCCTTGATTTAATAACATAAATAAGACAACACCACATGACCACATATCAACTGCTTTATTGTATGATTTATTTAAAATTTATTCAGGTGCCATAAATATAAATGTACCACATTATTACGAAACTGTTTAATAATAACGAATTTCTGGCATATACTAGTAACTTAAACCAAAGTCAGCAATCTTAACACTTGAAAGATCATCACTATATTTTATTAAGATATTATCTAATTATATATACAAAAACGATACCTGGTTTAATATCTCTATGAATAATCTATTTAGAATGGAGATACTCTATTCCTCCAAATATTGATTTCATTATACAACTTATTGTTTCCTCATCTAAACTTTATTTCATGTAATCACTTAAAGAACCACCTCCAGCATATTCCATTACCAAATATTGATTATTTCCCTACTTTAAATACTATATTTAATCTTAACAATCTCAACCTTGTAAAATTTTATAATATTTTTATGTTTAAGACTTTCCATTATTGATGTTTCCTATAATTATGCCCCTTACATAGACTATTCATTTCACAATATTTTACTTTTATTGCTACTTCTTCTCCTTTATACAATCCCTTAAACACTTATCCAAAAGCTCCTTCACCGATTTTCTCAATTATTTTTAACTCCTTTTCCTTCAAAAAATCATGTTTCATATTAATTATTATAAATTAAATATATAGCAACCATGAATCTAAAAATTATTAAAGCATAATGTAAGTAAATAAATACTTATATAATCTCAATTTTTAATTGAAAATCAATCTATATTTGATATCATTTAAGTTTATAATATATCTAAATAATTATGATCGTTCTGATAAATCTTTAAGGTAAAGAATTGAAATAAATTAACTATTAAAATCATAATCTGTATAAATATATTTTAACTAAAATTACGTAATGAACAATATGTAATTTAGTTTAGACACCTCTTTCCAATCCTCCTAGTTTTGTGATATTGAAATTAATGATAAGACGTGCGACTTATTATATTTTGAACCTATTCACATTGTCTCCTAACATAATAAATTTTACAACTTAAAAAAAGAAATAAAGCTCTCCCCATTCATCAACTATGATAATAACAATTCATCAATGTACTATTAAATACAAGTTTAAAAAATGAGAATTAAAAAGGCTATATAATCCAAGAGTTCTAAATACAAAAGATTACCTGATTAAGATTGTAATTCGTATATCTAACCTTCATCAAAAACTATGAAAATTACATAAAGAAAATCTTCCTAACCACAAAGATTGCCAACTAAGTCCTTTTGTCATTTTATAAATGATAAAGACTATCAACAAAAATTACAAACAAAAATAAAAATTCGATTACCTATTATTGAAAAACATTAAGTCGAAAGCCCATCTAAAAGCTCTTTAAATTGTTGGACCAGATATACCTCTTCCAGTTTATTTTAAGAAAATTGATGACTAAACTTTATGTATATAGAATAATCAAATTATATATTAATTGTTATAAAGATTCATAATAATCTAATAACGTTCTTATAATTGATAAAAATAATTGTTGATTTAATAAAAGGGAATGAATAATATTATTATTTTATATAATTTTAAAGAATCTTATTTTGTATGACTTAGAACATTTTAAAAAGAAAGTTCTTTCAACACATAAATTTTTACTAGAATATTTATAAATATAGTAATTATTATCTTTTGAGAATATATGTTGTATTAAATTAGATATTATTAATAATCTTGTTCATTTTGAAAGGATTTCTAATTAATCTCTTAGATCAAACAATATTTAATATTATTATACTCATAAATATTTAAATAGTAGATATCAATATAAAAATGCTATTCCACTAGAATTAAATCTTCGAGATCATATTGATTTTACAATTTGTATATTTTCTAATTAAAGTGTTGTTTATTTTTTTCTTTGAAAATACAAATAATCATTAAATAATAATTAAATGAATCGCATTCATCATTATTAAGGATTAGATAGTCGGTAAAAATCTGGATAAGAAGCAACTGAGCCAGCATCCACAAATAATAGATTTACAAGAAGTTTAGGAAAGAGCAGATCATCCTTTAATAACAGCGTTTCTCAATCTATTACAAGCTCGATATAGAAAGGAAAATCTTATTACTTGAATCATTTAGAAGCATACTACAACATGCATTTAATTGAAATATTAGCAGGTTTGTTTTTAGTTAATTAAGGGTTTGTCTCCATTAGATGAGAAGATAGAATTGCTTAAGAAATTTAAGGAATTGTTCTTATAGATGATCGATTAATTATAAGACCTACTATTCCTAATAAAATAAGTCGATTTTGAAGCTCCCAATTTTGAAGAACTATATTAGACTGATGCTGAATATTTCAGTGAGACTGTTTATAGAGACATAAAGGTATCACATAACCATATTTAATAGCATCTAGAATAACAACATTATGATTTAATTTACTCATCTAGTTTAAGATTTTTATCAAATGTTTTAGAATGTATATCATATAATTTCGAAATTGATATTTATGAATTTGATATTCGGAATTGGGCATAGTAAGGATTGGATCATATTCTGAAATTCAGTGGATTAAGAAGATCGTTTCGTTAACCTATTAGTTGCTGTTAAAGATATTGCAAATGCATATCAAATTTGTTTAAAAATAATAGACAAAGAAGATGAATAATTCAGCAATTAATAAAAACAATCAATTATTTGTTACTGAATATGATTAAATTTATGTAACTAACTATTCATCATTATTCCATTACATCTTTAAATAAAAATAGCAGGTGATCAACTTATTTCGATTGGGCAATAAGTTAATAATGAACCTTATTATAAAGCTGATTCAACAAATTCATTTGTTACATCATATATTAGAATATTGTAATATCTGGTTTTTCTTTGACTTAAATAATTTTATGATTGACTTCTATATATTTAACATACATAGAATAAATGATCGACAACACAATTTTATATTATTAACTTTTAGAATGTTTATGTCTAATGCAACTTAATAATCTCCTAACCAAATTGAATGATTGTTGATTTTAATGATTTCTGATTAAGATTGATATGGCTCTAAAAGTCCAAAACTTTCAAATATTAATTCTATTTATTAATACAAAATGATTATATATATTTTTAAGCTTTTTTAATAGAAATTAATAATAATTCATTAATATTTATTCAAATGATAAATAAAGATTAATGCATAGAAGATTATAGGATATAAATGAATTCATCAATAGGAAGAGGAAATTATGGAGAAGTCTTTGATTGCAAGTCGACAAGAAATCCTTAGTATTCTTTATGTGCAAAGGTAAGAATTACTAATATCTAGATAATTAATACATAAGTTTTAGAAAAGTATAAAAATATAGAAAAAATGATTTCACAACTCGTTTCTCAAAATAAATAAAATCAAAACTTAGTGACTATTTATGATGTAAAACACATAGCTTAAGAGAAAAAATTGATAATTATTATGGAGAAATGCGAATCCAATTTATAAAAACTCATTAATATTTAAAAAAAATTTAATGATTCAGAAGTTTTTAATTTCATAGATTAATTTTTAAATGGATATCAGGTTCTTTATGATAATAACATTATACATAGAGATATCAAACCAGAAAATATATTAATTCAATAAAAGACTTATAAATTATCTGATTTTGGAACAGGCAAAATTTATAAAGCTAATGATTTTTTAATTACAAAAATTGGAACTCCTGTCTACACAGCTCCTGAAATAAATTCATTAGTTTAGGACCATGAACTTGATATACGTTTTTAAAATATCAAATTTAATCAACATTCTAAGAGCCAAGTAGATATTTTTTCGGTAATAATACTTTAAAATAATTAGCTTGGTATAATTTTATATTAAATGGTATACGGTGAATTACCCTTTGAACATAATTAGACCAGTATTATTGAGTTTGCAAAAAGAATAAAAAAGAATCCTTTGTAATTAACAGGATAATCAAAGCATAAGAATATTATAGAATAAATGCTGATTTATTATCCTGATGAAAGAATGACCTTTTAATGTTTATATAATTTAGTCTCTGAAAAAAAAAATACCAAAATTTCATACCCAATATAAATTAAATAAAAGGATAATTAAATTAAATCACCACAAGTTAGTACAACAATACCAAGCTTAAATTAAAATGGAGGAAACTAAAATGGATCAAATTAAAATATATTCAATTAAAATGGATTTAACTAAAATGGATTCAAACTAAATGGATTAAATTAAAATGGATTCAATTAAAATGGATTCAAACTAAATGGATCAAATTAAAATGGATTTAACTAAAATGGATCATATTAAAATATATTCAATTAAAATGGATTAAATTAAAATGGATTAAATTAAAATGGATTTAACTAAAATGGATCAAATTAAAATGGATTAAATTAAAATGGATTTAACTAAAATGGATCAAATTAAAATATATTCTATTAGAATGGATTTAACTAAAATGGGGTGATTAAAAATGAATTTAATTAAAATGAAGCAAATTAAAATGGATTAAATTAATAGTTTTAACTTTAAAATAATTGTATTCCTAATATTAAAATTAAAAGTAATCAATTTTAAACACCTCCTTAAAAAGAGGACCTATCACTTATTAGTCCACATTAAAAGATTAAAGAATATTTGCAATTTTTATTGTAATTATAAATAGCTTAAATTTAGGAATGATCATGGAGATATTATTAAGGATGATATTAAAAACTTAATTTAGTATTTAATCCAAAATTCAACATTTTCGATTGAATAATTAAAATAATTAATAACAATCTATAAAAATTAAATTTAGAAACCAGATTTGTGTGAGAATAAGACTTTAATTTTTTTTTATTGTATACTATGTATACTAAACAACACCACTCTTTTAAATATTCAGAGTTTTGATGATAAGAAATTAAGAGAGTAAATAAAACGATTATACGATAATTTAAATTCTACTTGATAATAATAAATGTGAATTTTATAGATAATCAAATTTTTATTATAATTTAATAGTTCTCAAAATTGTTATTTTAAAGATTATCAAACAATCTAAAAAGAAATAATTTAATAATATTAAATTCTTCCAAAGATTGCTTTCTAATATGAAAATATTTTTTAAATTAATTAAATTAGTAAATAATTAAGATTTTTTTAAATGCCTTTAAAAAAAGCTCAAATAATAAAAACACTCAATTTATAGATATAAATTGTATTAAACAAGTTTTTATTTCAGAAATCACAAGTTTTTAACCTTTTTTAAAAATTTTCTTAATTTTTAGAAAAAAATTTGATGACAAAAAATGTGTTTTCCTTAAAACTAAGTAATCATTTATTAAAATTATATAATTGGTTGGATGAAATACATTAAACGAATATTATAAATAGAGTGCTTCTGTTATATTTACTGTCTTTAGAGTTATATCAAAAATCTCAATAATTTACTAATTAGATTAATTGTTCAACAAATATCAAATATTCAAATAAATCATAAAAATAGAAAATTCTCTTTGGAAATGAATAATTCTAATTTTAAAAATAAATTAAAATATTTGAGATAAAAAATGTATTTCTAATTTATATAAGGAGGATTTGAAAACATTATAATTGGTTTAAAGAATAGGGATTTTGATATTTAGCTTAAAATACAATGAAATAATTATTTATAAAGTAATCAATAGTTTTCCTATATTAATTTTTACTATTTTGAAGAAAGATTTAAACAAGATTTATTTAAACAAAATAAAAAAGATTATCACATCAATTTTGATCTTCTAATTGAATTTGCAAATGCAAACATATTCCTTAAATTGCCAATTTTAAGGATAATAAATTATCCCTAAATTATTTAGTTAAAAATTAATGGGTATTATTAATGAAAGTTTTCAATCTTTAAAAAGAGTTGACATAAAAAATATTATTATAATTTTATACAGGATTTATAAAATCTAATATATTTTATTTTATTTAATACACAATATATAATCTTAAATTGTACAAAAACTTGGATAATAATATAAATGAATCTTTTTATAAAAATATTAATATAATTTTAATGACGTGATTTATATACTGAAAACCTAGTAATAGGAAGTATTAAACTAATTCAATTATTAGGATAATTAATTTAAATTAAAATTAAAGAGAGATGTATGGAAATAAAAACAAAAACGCAGCACTGATATCAATTTATTGTTAGAGATACAAAATGAGATTAAACTCAACTCCACATGTTATTACTAATTAACTATCTATAAATCATTTAAGTGGTTAGAGAGTGTAAACTGAGTAAAATCAAAGTCGAAGAATCAAAACAATTGGAAGTCAGAGATCCAAGTTATATTACAAGTCTGAAAGTAGAGAACCAATTAAATCTTCTAATAAATCTAAATAGTCATCTTCAGATTCAAGAAAACAATCAAATTATGATTCTCATGTCAATACATCAACTTCTGATAATGAAGACAAAGTTTTGATGATATCCAAAATCGTATTTTCAGTAAAGTCTCCACTTTAAAGTTTAAGGTTTTAAAGCTTTATTCTTGACAAAAAAGCTTAAAATATTGAAATTAACAGAAAGAAAACTCTCAGAAATTCATTATTATCAAATTCTTTTAAGAATTAAAATTTTTAAATGACTGGAAATGAATGTGGTTGGTCTAGAAAATCTTCAGAAAGTCTTATCTATCTATGATCAGACAAATATAAAAATTATTTGTATATAGTGAATATTTGTTTTATTCATTTTAAATAAAAATAACACAATAAATATTCTTAAATTCTAAAAATCAATATTATTATTCTAGAAGAATTGAATATTTTACTTTAGTAAAAACATCTTAAATAACTTCTAAAAATAATAAATAATTTAATATTTATTTTACAATAATTTAAGTAGGATATACAAAATATTTATTTGAAATGTCTTAGTTTAGTAAGAAATTTCTAAATGTTTCTGAAAATATGTTTCTAATTTTAACGAAAAACAAAACGATAATGTTTTTGTGTGAAGCAAGATCTTTATATAATGTTATACTTAAATATAGTACATTTATTGATTATATTCTTATTTCGTTTACGTTTATTAAAATCTTAATAATTAGAATATCCATTAAAAATATCAAAAAAAATAGCATTTCAGGTATTTAATTTATTCTTTATATTTTTAGGCCAATTTTATAATATAATTATCTAATAATTACAGGTAAGGTTGAGGATTTTCTCAATCTCTTTCATAGATCTATATATATATAAGGAATTATAATAATATATTGGAGAATGAAATTAAAATATAAATTGATAAACTTAATAATATGTTTATTATTATTATTATTATTATTATTATTATTATTATAACAATAAAAGTAAATTAAAGAACTTTTATATTCTCAATCATTTGACAGTAGAATCAATTAGAAAAAATACATAAAATAAAATATTGTTCATTGATAATACATATCATCTTTAAGTTTTAAGAAATAAGATTCATATAATAAGATAAATTAATTGCATAACAAAGAAATTTTTTAGCAATACATATTTTCAAATTTGTTATAAAAATCAAAAAGATAACTGATAAAAATTATTTTGATTTTAAATAACCTACTAGAAACTTAAATCCAAAATTAATAATAAGAAATGAAGTAATTTAAAAAAAAAATTAATCATTTTAAATATTAGACATTAAAAAATCTGTGTATTAAAATTGAATTGAGAATGAGAAAACAATTTAAGTAAATCATGTTTTATAAGAAAAATAATATATCATTTATAAATTCTAATATATTCTAAGTATAGATTATATAAAAATATTTAGAAAAATAATCAATTAAATGCTGGATAATTTTGTTTTAAAATCAAAATTTAACCACAAACATTATATTTTAGTACTAAATAAGACATCTAATCTATATAATATTATCTTCCCTATTCTTATAAAAATTTCAACAAATATTTTAAATAAAATGTGAAGAAATTAATGGTATAAAATGTTTATTTAATGGTAAAAATTTGAATTGACAAATTATAAAGAGTGTTTGAATGATGAGAAATAGTTAGAGCTTAAAAATGAAGGGCGAGAAATTACCACACTTTTTTATCAATATTTAATTTTAGTTTATGTAATTTTTAGTGCTTATCTTCTTAACAAGTATTTTAATCAATGAAGTCTAAGGAGGTTGGATAATACAATACAATGGAATACATGAATTTAAAACAATTACATGTACTTCATTAGGTTGTTTATATGGATTTAAGAATTAAACAAGCACAGGACCAGCCTTATATTTAAATTGTTTAACAAGTCCACTCACTGCTTTAATGCTAGATAATAACTAATTAACTTCAATAGAAAATACTGCATCTTTAACACCAACATAATCAAACGCTTATAAATTATTCATGTTTGATGTATACTATACAAGTCAATGGGTAGATGATGTCATAGATTTTGAGTTTAATAATTAAATTTTTTAAATTAGACATTCAACTTCAGATCCATTGCCTCAAACAAATGGATTTTGTGATTCAATTTAATATGAAGTTAGAACATATAACTTTACATTACCTTATAGTTCAAATAATTATTAATTTCCAAAATTTACAATATATAATCCATCAATTAGTGCAATGATCAGAAATGTGCATATGTCATTTCAAAATTGTTATCCTGGTTGTACTTAATGCACAGGTCCAGATAAAAACTAATGTACATTATGTTCTGGAAGTTTGGTTATAAATAATGGAGTATGTAGATGTCCAATAAGAACAAGTGTTATGTAAGCATATGGATGTGTAAATAAATGTTATTTAACAGGATCTAAATTAAAATCATAAAATAGAATTTGTTTAGATTTTGCACCAACAACCCTTATCTACTCTAATTTAGTTGGAATTAATTTAGAAACTTGGTATAATTGGAATATAATTTATGATCCTAAGCATTTAGATATAATTGATAAAAAACTCTCTCCATATAATTTTGGACTCTTTAGATTTCGAGAAGGAGCCTATACATCTATTAGCACTATATATGCAATATACCCTTTAGTAACAATAGTTTAATTTGTATTTTGTAATGCAACTCCAATAAATACAGGAGTTCAATTTTATGTCAATTAAACATATATAGGATCTGTATATTTTGATGGAACTCAATATATATATGATAAAGTAGAATTGAGATCATAATAAGTGTATCCAATAACTGGATAATGCATAAATAATATGTTTATCTCTGTTGAGATATTTACAACTATGATTGAATAAAAGTTAACATTTTCTTTATAAGGGAATTTTACGTAAAATTCAAGAATAATTTAGTTCATCAGGAGCTGGGTGGTTTGTAAGATTGGTTTAAATTACAACAGGTTATTGTCCATATACATGTCTGAAATGTGATATGTTTTATAGATGTATATAATGCCCATCAGGATATGTAAAAATTTCAGATGGAACTTGTTAATACTGGGGTTGTCCATTAGAAACTACCTATAATGGTACTCATTGTGTCAAATATCATTAAGTTACAAAATGTAAATAAAAATATAAAATAAGATTCGTAATATTTAGTGAGAGAATTTTATGATTTTACTGTCACAGATACTCTAAATACAACTTTTATTTTGGAATCAACAGTACCAACAGATTTGTAAAAAGGGCTTTTTGTATATTGGTCTTACACTGATACAAAAAGAATATTTGGGGGTAAATATGTTTGGGCATAATCCAGATTTTCTCAAATTTATACTTTAAATCCGCATCATTCATTAACAATTTATTTTTAAGTAATTTTTGGTCCAAATTTTCCTACCTCTTCTACTAATTATTTTTCATATGAAATAAATAATGGTACTGAAAAATAAATAACTAAAACTTCAACATTAAGTATAGTGGAAAAAATCTTAACATATAATCCTACTTTAACAATTGCAATTTAATGTAATGGTATTAATATTATTGATTCATATTGTGGAATGTCAAATTATTATATTGTTGTTCATTATTGTAAACCATATTGTAATCGATGTACAAACGAATTCACTTGTGATGAATGGATGATATATGATCCTAATATTGTGAAAGCAGAATAATCATAATGTTTAAGTAATTAATTTGTAGATGAGATTACATCCACTTGTGAAGATTGTCCTTTTGAATGTCTAACTTGTTTTAATGAATATGAATGTTTAACATGTAAGCCTAATTATTAATTGATTATTACAACTTGTATCTTAGGTTGTTAACTTAATTAATTCTATGATGGGATAAATTGTTTAGATTGTCATTATAGTTGTAAATAATGCTAATCAACAAATTATTGTATACATTGTGAATCGACATCTTTAAGATATTTAGAAAATGGATAATGTATTTGTTTTGATGGTTATTATGACTATAATAATATCTAATTATGTTAACCATGTGATAAATTATGTACATAATGTAATGGACCTACTAATTAGAATTGTTAAGCATGTATAGTATTAGATAATTTAATATTAAATGGAAATTCTTGTGAATGCATAATTGGATATTATTTTGATGAATATTAATTGAAATGTTTATCATGTACAAATAAATGTGAAAAATGTTTTGATTAATCAGATTCATCTTGTTTATCTTGTTATTCAAATTAAAATAGAATTTTGAATGGATTTTAATGCAAATGTCAAAAAGGTTATTATGATATTAATTAAGATAATTGTATTTAATGTCCATCTTTAGAAGATGTCTTATTAACATCTTGTTATTAGATTTGTGGAAATGGTATTTTAATTTGGTTTAATTAGAATTGTCCTACTTTTATATGTTCATCTGGATTTAATAATATAAATAATTAATGTCAATCTATATGTGGAGACTTATTAGTTGTAGATTAAGAATAGTGTGATGATGGAAATTAAATCTAGTTTGATGGCTGTCATAATTGTAGATATTAATGTCCTGCTTAATGTACTATTTGTGATAATACTACTGTATTTCCTTGTATAGATATTTGTGGTGATGGAATAGTAAGTGGATTAGAAGAGTGTGATGATTCAAATAGTATATAATTTGATGGATGTTATTAATGTAAAATTGAATGTTAACCTTAATGTACAAGATGTATCAAAGGTACATGTTCTGAATGTTTAACATTTGGTTGGATGTTTGATGCTTCTTCAAGTTTATGTATAGAAAAGTGTGGTGATAGATATTTAGTTGGTAATGAACCTTGTGATGATGGATATAATTTTGATTCTAATGATAGTTGTTTAGCTTGTAAAAGAGTATGCAGAGATGATTGTAAAACTTGTAGTGATGATGGAACTACATGTTTAGAATGTAAAACAATTGGATTTAGACCATAATATTACTATTGTATAAACATTTGTGGTGATGGATATTTAGCAGTAGATCCATATAATAGATATATAGAATAATGTGATGATTTTAATTTAGCTAATTTCGATGGTTGCAATGCAGCTTGTTAATTTTAATGTTAAACAATAGATATTTGTACAAGCTGTGTAAGTAATAAATGTTAAAGTTGTGTAAGTACATATTATTTAGATACATCAAAAAATAAATGTATTGAATTATGTTATGATAATATTATTGTTGGTAATGAAAAATGTGAAGATATGAATAGTTTAATGTTAGATGGATGTTATAATTGTTAATTATCATGTTAATAATCATGTTAGATATGTACAATTAAAGGTTGTACTTAATGTAAATCTGGCTATTTATTAACCAATTATTAATGTAAGAATATTTGTGGAGATGCTATTGTTGTCGATGGAGAAGATTGTGATGATGGTAATTTATATCCTTTTGATACTTGCCATTAATGTATTTATTAATGTACACCTAATTGTTTATATTGCCATAAAGGAGAATGTCTATAATGTTAAAAAGATTATTTAAAAATAAAAGGAAGTTGTTGGAAATATGAAAAATTAGATTATTTAATAATATAAAAATAAGTGAAACTTAAATAAAATGAGGAAACATAAATACTATTGATTGAATTTTGTTCAAATTATAATCATATTTATTGCATGAAATGCCATTATCCATATACCTATAATGCAATAATGTAAATATGTGAATTTAAATAAGAATATTAAATTTACTATTATGATGATGGTCCATTTTATTAAGATTATATATAACCTTTATTAGAATTTTGTTTAATTTAATATCATTAAACATGTTTAAAATGTTATAATAATTTTTAATTGAATTAATTTAATAATTTATGTGAACCAATATGTGGTGATAATTAATTAGATGGCTATGAATAATGTGAAGAAAATAATTCATTATTTTTTGATGGTTGTTATAATTGTTAATATTAATGTCATAATTTTTGTAAAAATTGTTTATTTGGATAATGTTTTGAATGTGAATCAGATTTAATTTTATTAGATTAAAAATATTGTCAATCTAAGGCTATTTGTAATTAAATTGAAGGTTATTATCTAAATGAAGATACAAATACTTGTATTGAAAATTGTGGTGATGCTATAGTATCTAAAAACGAAGATTGTGATGATGGTAATGATATTTAATATGATGGTTGCTATCAATGTAAATATTAATGTGAAAATTATTGTACTGATTGTATTAAAGGTAAATGTATCATTAAACCTATTCCTTGTAGTATAGGTTTGTATTTTAATTTTGAAAATCTTTTATGTTAATCTATTTGTGGAGATGGTATTTAAATTGGTCCAATAGAAGAATGCGATGATGGTAATCAAAATGAAGAAGATGAATGTAATAATAATTGTAAATTACAATGTGATCATAAATGTGCTTAATGTGAAAAATTAAATAATTGTTTAATTTGTAAAGAAAATTATTAATTGATAAATAATAAATGTGATGATATTGAAAATTAATATTATTAGATTAAAAATTGTGAAATATTAATTGATAATGAATGTATGTAATGTGAAGAAGGATTTACTTTAAAAAATAATAATTGTATTATTTATTGTGGTGATGGTATCAAAAATGGAAAAGAATTATGTGATGATGGTAACAATATAAATGGAGATGGATGTGATATTAATTGTAATCCATCATAAGATAGTTATTGTAAAGATTCTGAATGCACAATCTTAATATCTCCTACTGCTCATCTTGTTTTTTTAAATGAATTTTTTGGTTTATAATATGCAGAATTAGTTTATAATCAAGATATGAGATTAACTGAGGATTATTCTAAATAAGATTATATTGATAATTTAGTATTCTTTATTGATAATCAAGATGAAAAAAAAGCAAATATTTCATTTAATTCAGAATCTATAAGTTAATAGTTAAATTATGTTATTATTTAAATACAGATTGAATTTTTGGATTATGTGTAAGATCCTATCTTAAAGGTTAAGTTTAACAATAATTAGATTTTAGTAAATGAATATGGCTTATCCATATAATAAGAGATATTATCTACTAAATTACAATCTCCAAATGTTTTAAATTAAAGTTAATAAGAAAGTAGTTAATCATTAATTTCAATGAGTTCGTAATTATTGAAAATAATGGCAGTATTTATAGCATTATCGTCAATAACAGGATAATTATAAATTATTTCTAATTTAATAGATATTATTCAGTAATTATACTATTTGAAATATTTAAATTCAAGGATAGGTATTAATCTTGCTCAATTTTATTAAACTTTCAAAATGATTTAATTAACTAATATATTTGATTAATTCAACATAAATCCAAATTCTAATTTTAAAAGCATTTTGACATATTATAATTCTGAACCAATATTTGAATTTGATGATAGAAATGCTAATTTTTTAAATAATATTTCTTAATTAAGCATAGTTTATATTATTTTAGGAATGGCATTAATAATATTGAAATTGGGTTCTTAATAAATGATGAAAAAATTATCATAATTAAATTATATTCATTTAAAATAAACATAATTATAGATTGTAAAGTTCATATAAAAAAATTGTATAAAAATAAGAAAAATAAAATATTGGCCTTAAATTAGAAGTTTATTTTTAGCAATAATTTATGAATTTGGAATAAATATATTTCTTGCTATAAAATATTCTAAAAGAGATAGTGAAGGTTATTGTGGTGTTGGTATAGCCATATCAATACTATTTGTAAGTATCTTAATATTACTATAATAATTAAAATAAAATAATGGTATAATAAAAAGATTATAAAAAATAAACAAAGAGGATAATATATTTACATATATGTGTATATAAAGATTATTGTTTGTGATGTTTTTAGTATTCTTTTTTTAATCAGGGTCGATTTAAATTTTATTATGTATTTTAAACGAATTTTAGTATTGTTACTTTTTATATAGTTACAAAATAATTAAATAACCTACAGAGAATTTAAAATAACTATCTTCTCATATTATTTAATTCATAATTTGTTGTATATATCTAATTAATAATTTTTATTAAAATGATCCATAAACTTTAATTATGATTGGTTGGAGTATTATAAGTTTGATGAGCACTGTTTTAATAATTACAATAATTACAGATTTTATTGATATAATTTATCCTTTTTTCAAAAAGATTTTAAAGAAATAGACAATTGAAAATAATGGGATTAGTTAATTATTTTGTGTAGTTGAAAATCAAGTAAATGTACTCAATAGATAATAATTTTGAAGATTTGATTTTATTCATTAGTTGTTGTAATAAATTTTAAGTTTTAAATATAATTTATAATTATTGTTTTGTATTTAATTATATGATAAGCGAACAAATTTAATCAATTACATCAATAGTTCATAATGGTACCGAATTGATATTATAAAGAGTTCTATATAAAAAGTGGTAATGGACCATGGATACAAAGAAATATTTTTGAGAATGTTGAATATGATGAATATGAGAATAAACAAATAGAGATTTTATAATAGAAAATAGGAGAGAAAGGATTAAAGATTAATTTAAAGAGAAGTACATTATTGAAAATGTTGATGGCAGCTTAATATGATGTAGAAAGAGCAATAATAGTATTGTAATAAAAATATTAGATAATTAGAATTGTTAATTACACTTAAAGTTTCTTAAAGAATATAAAAAGAGTGATTATTAGAAGGATTTAGTTAAAGGCTATTTATATGTATGTGGATTTGATAACTAATACAGACCGGTTATAATATTTAGATAATATTGTGATATCAAAATAATTACTTATTTTTTAGAAACAGTTAGGAGATCACTTTTAATAGATTATTATGTTGAAAATTGGACAATCATAATAGATTTAGAATTAGATTTACCAGTATTAGAATTAGAAGATCTATTATATTTATAGTTATAATTTTATGGGAATTTGAATAAAATGTTAATAATAAATGGTCCAGATGACATTTAAGTAATATTGAAATAATTTACTGGTTATTATATTTAAATTTATGATTAGATAAATTTCCAGATCTTAGTGTTAAATTATAAGTGATAACTGAATATTCCTAATTATTATAGTATATTCCAAAAGATTAATTAGAGATTAAATATGGTGGAGATTAATCAAATTTAATATAATTTTGGTATTAAATTTAAAAAATATTATAGGCCATTGTAGAAAAGAGAAGGTGTTTCTGGATTATTAAATGGGAATAATAATAAAACTTCACATCTCTCTATAGCTTCATTAAATAGTAGTTCTGTAAATAAGAAGTCTAGTTTTATGAAAATTACTGTTTTGGAAGAGAATGGAAATCCACTATTAAATTAATAGATGGCAGTATTTGAGGATAAAGTATTATAGTCATCTGAATCTTCTATTTAAGATTAAGCTCCTCTATAAGATTATGAGGAGAAGTATAAATCTTATTTAAGTACATCAACAAAAAAGAATTTTATGGATAAAGTATAATTGATTGATATGGATGATTAAAATGGTGAAGAATAATAATCAAAAGAAAGTTAAAATGAAAATAAAAAGAAAAAGAAACATAAAATGGATGAAAAATAAATATAAAATAGAAGAATAAATATGGAAGGAGAAAAAGAATCAATAGTTGCTAATCCATCCTGTTGTTCAAAGAATTGTTCCATTTTTTGATTACTACATTTATATAAATAATGATACATCTATTAATTAAATTATCAATAATGAATTATATGAGAGATAATTATGTAAATGCAAAAAATGATGTACCCATCTTAATAGATTATGGAGCATCTACAATTAAAGCAGTAATAACATTCTATTTTATAAAAGGGATATGCTACATCATAAACTCCAGATGTAGTAATTAGAAGCTATATTAATAAATTTAAGGATTCTAATACATAATCTAATTAAATAGCTTAATGGGATACAGATGTATTTAAAAATTATAGATCACCTTTTGAGAAGAATCTAATTTAACATTCTGGTGCATTAGAATAATTAAATGATTTTGTTTTTGAAAGACTATAAGCTGGAAGACATGGTAGAGTGAATCATCCAATTATATTAACAGAATGTTTTGCTACTACTGATTTAGCAAGAATGATAGTCTTAGAATAAATGTTTGAATGTTATCAAGTACCAAGTGTAATGTTAGGAGTGGATGCATTATTCTCAGTATTTTAAGATGATTTAGATACTTATTTAAAATAAACATAATTAATTGTACATCTTGGTGATTAAACTGTTCATGTAGTACCTATAATTAATGGATAAATAATATATTCTAATATTAAGCGATTAAATTTAGGTGGTTTAAATACTTTAAAATACTTTTATTAAACTATATAATTGAGACATCCACATCTCAAATTCACTTATCCATAAATAGATTATTGGCATAAATAATATACTAGTGTTGCTATTGATTATCAACTCTAATTACGTTATTTTTAAGGACCATAATTCTATTTTGGATATAGAGATAAAATAACAGAATAAAATAGATAATATTAAGATGATTAGTTATAATTATTGGATCCTATATATATAGATATTCCAATAGTATAGAAAATTGTGAGTGCAGAAGACTTAAAGAGAAAAGATGAAAATAGATAAAGAATGAGAGTTAGATTACAAGAATCAATTTAATAAAGTAGATAAAACAAAAAGTCACAATTAGAATAATAACTATAAACATTACAATAAGAATTAGAAATAGACTAAAATAATGATGAACTCAAAAAGAAAATTACAAATCTATAAGTTAAACTAGGTTTAGTACCTAAAGAAGCTTTAGAAGAATTAAAATATAATTTATTAAATGTACCTGATGATACATTGACACCTTCTTAATTAAATTAAAAAAGATATTAAAAAGTTATGTATGAATAAGCATTAATGAAAAAATAAAAAAATTAAGAATTTAAATAATTACAAAAAGATGCAAATAAATTTAAATTAGAAGAACCTGAAAAATATTTATAAATGCTCTATGAAAAAAGAGATCGTATAGTTTTATAAATATAAGAAAGAAAAAAATTATAATAAGAAATGAATAGTAGGAATTCAAGATTCAATTAAAAGAGAATATAAACTTTGGCTTATTTAGGAGCTGATGATAAAGTTGAGGATGATTTTGGAAAAGATGATAAGGATTGGGAAATATATAGAAGTGTTACCAAAGAAATAGATTCTGCTGATGAAAAGTCTAAATATAAACTATAAGAAATAGAATAAGAATTAAAAGATCTGGATCCTGATTTCGAAATTAAAATACTTAAATCAATTGCTAATATGCATCAATTAGGTATGAATCTTAGTCAAGTCTAATTAACTGTTGATAGAGTTAGATGTTAAGAAATCTATTTTTAACCCAACTTAATTGGAGTTGAACAATAAGGTTTAGTGGATATGATCAAATTATCATCTAAAGGTTTGGATAAACTCTTATTATAAAACATCATTTTAACTGGAGGTGGAGCTAAAACATAAGGAATTATGTAAAGGTTATAAAAAGATCTTACATCAGAATATGATTGTCCTATTGCTATTAAAATAGCTACTGATCCTGTCTTTGGAACATGGATGGGAATGAAGAATTTTGCAAATAAATATTAAAATATGCTGTCCTAATTTTCAATATCAATTGATGATTATAATGAAATTGGTACTTAAAAATGGGAAATATTTAAATAACATCCATTTTCAAATATTGTAGATTGATGAATCTATTGCGTTATTATTAATATATTAGTATATATTTATTATTCTTATGTTTAGAAATTATTTATATTATTTATTTATTTTGAACTAATATTTTAGTAAGTAGTTTTAAGAGAAATAATTATGTTTAAATAATCATAAAAAAATCAATATATTGATGTATTCACCAAAATATCCAGTTGATTAAAGTATAGTTAATATTGGCAGCAATCCTATGAAAACAAGGAGAGCATAATCTGAATTTTAACCATCTAATTTTTAAAATTAAGGGAATAAATAAAAAACTAAAAACTTAGTAGAATTATTGAAAGATGATTTAAATATTTAATATGTAGAGTATCCAGAAGAGTTATTTTAAGTACCTGAAAATAGTATAGTTTTGGTTCCTATTTAAATAATGAGAGATATATTAAAGAGTTATCAATATAATAATGAAGAATTATAAAGAATGGGAAATAAAGTAAAAGAATATGAATAGAAAAGATTATTACTAAAATTCAAGTCTGGATTGAATTATATAAATTAATGAATATATAGAATTAATAACGTTAAAATAATAATGATGATTGTGATTGTTGTGATTTGAATGATTGTTGCAATGGATGTTGTTGTGAAGATTGTTGTAAGGATTGTGAATGTTAAGAATATGGATGTGATTGCATTAATACAATTCAAACAAATTGTTGTGATAATTGGCAATGTTGTTAATGTATGTAATGTTGCACAGCAGGAGATATTCTTACAGAATTAAATTTTAATCGTCATATTGAATTAGAAGATGAGAATGAAACTTTCTTAGCTTAGTTTAAGGAATTGATAAGCAATTATAGAATTTATAAAAGATATCAACATCCATTATTAGAGGAATCATTCTTATTAAAGAAAAAGAAGAGTTCAACAATACAATTTTATGATAAAATAATTTTGAAGACTTATTGGTTCACAAATTAAAATGATTATTCAAAATCTTTAAGTATATGGCATTAGAATATTTTCAAATATACAGAAATGTAAATATATGGTGCTAGAATTTAAGATATATGTATAGATAGATGGAGAATAGCAGTATTATTACCTAAATTACATCATATTCAAAAGAAACATAAATTTCAGGTGTATACTTTTCTATCTTAGATTTCATCTTAAATCTTAAATTATTCAGAAGAAAAATCAATATTTAATGAATTACTAATTTATTATGAAAGTAGTTATGTACTTTTACCATCAAATTTATTAAAATAATCAGTTTATGAACAATATAAAGCTAATCATAAATTAAAACATCCTCCTGAATGGGAAGATGAAAATGAGTAAATATTTGATTGGAATAAAAGTGATTGCTTTTTAATAGGATTATTTGTATTAAGTTAATTAGTAAATTCATCATTAGATGATATATATGAAGATTCAAAATTTAATAAAAATAAACTCAACTTTTACTTATAAAAAATAAATAGTTAAGAATTCTATAATGTTTTAATATATATGTTATAGACTGAACCAGATGAAAGATATTCATTATAATAGATAATCTAATTAATGAAACATAAACCAATAACACCCATAACTTAAGATAATAATAAAAGTTAAGCACCTTTGTAATCAACTTAAAAATAATAACCAATTAGTGTTGTTAGTAGAGTATAAAACTAGAATTTAAATACTGGAGGTCAATATACAGGAGATTAGATTGATAATAAAAAACATGGTCATGGTAAATTACTTAATCCAGATGGATCTGGATATGAAGGAGAATGGTTTTAAGATTAAATGCATGGAAAAGGTGAATTATTTTTACCAGATGGAAGGATACTTTATAAAGGATAGTTTTAAAATGGGAAATATCATAATTTTGGACATTTAATCAATCCAAATCCTAATATTACTTAAAATTATAATTTTAGGGATCTCAGAAATATTGGGAATTATTGGTCAAAATATGAAGGAGATTTTAAATTAGATAAAAAACATGGATATGGGATATTGTATTTCTCTAGTGGAGAGAAGTGGGCAGGAGAGTTTATTGATGATATACCAAGTGGATTTGGCACATTTTTTGGTTTATCTGGTGAAGTAACAGGAAAATGGGTTAAAGGCATTTTATTTGATTGAGTTAGTGATGTTTATTTTTTTACAGGATTTTTAGATCTTAAAAGATCAATAAAATAATACATTATTTATTATATTATGGAACATAGATAACTATTAGAAACACTAGTCGTTGATTTATTAAATAGTCCAATCAACCCATTAATTTAAGTACACTATTAAATTATGTTTAGTATCGAGACTTTTAAATTTAACACATCTGTAAATAAATTGGAGTTAATGAGTATGGTGGTTAAAGAGATGCAATCTTTTTTAAGCATTTTGCTTCCCATTTTATTTCATATTTAAATGAAAAAAATGAGCTTTCACCTATCATATCATAAGCTTAAATTACTAGAAATTAAACAAAACCATAGGAACTATAATCAAATAAACAAATAACATTACCATCAAATCCTGACTCAATCAAAAGTCCTGTTTGTTCAAAACCTAAAAATGATGTTGTTTAAATCATTGATGATGATATCTTGAACTCAAATAAATCAAAAATTGATTTGGAGGTATTCCTCTCTAAATCCATAATACCTGTGCCAAATATTATTGGGGTTAATTTAGACATAAATAATAATCAATTTAATAAATCAAATGATAACATAAAACATATATCTACTAAAACAGCATCAAATAAATTGGAAATTAAACCTAAAGAATCTAAACTCATTCCTGATCTCATTCATAAAAATAAAATTAACAAAACTCCCCAAAAAAAAGAAATTCATAATAAAACATTTGCATTTCTTGAACCTATAGAATTTAAAGAAACTTAATTAAATAGATCTCTTTAATCTAAAATAGAACTCTAAAATAATAATAAAAAGAAAAGGTTATCCCCTTAATTGGATATAATTAAAAAAAAAGATAGTAAACCATCAACTTTTAAACCAGATTCTTTATCTGAATCATTTGAAATTAGAACCTCAGAAGATTTATCATTTAGAGAAGATAGTATTAAAAGAAAGGAGAATATTAAATTAATTAGTAAATAAGAAAAGAAACCAATTAAAGAATTAGAAATTGTAAATAAAAAAGAGAAATTATAAAAAATTGAAAAAAAAAAACATTCAGATTCAGATATAAAATAGAAGATTGAAAAATTGACTCAATAGATTATTCCAATCATTGAATAAAAGGATAAGAAAAAAAAAGAGAAAGTTGATAGTAATAATAATAAATTGAAGAATAATAATAAAAAAGAATAAGATAAATAATAATAATAAAAAGAAAAAAATTCAATATTAGAAAGATTTGAGAGAGAAAAATATGATAAAGATAAATTAGAAAAAGAAAGATAAGATAAATTTGAAAAAGAAAAAGCAGAAAGATTAGAAAAAGAAAGATAAGAAAGAATTGAATATTTAGAAAAACAAAGGTAAGAAAGAGAAAGATAGGATAAATTAGAAAAAGAAAGATAAGAAAGATTAGAAAGAAGTGATAAACATAGATAAAAAGAAACTTAAGAATTAGAATTAATTATTGAAAAACTATTATGTACTAATTCAAATGAAACATCCAAAATTAAAAAGAATTCAGATTAAATAATTATTATTGATAATAATGAAAAAACAATTAAGAAATTTGAAAAAGAGTAATCTAAATTTGAAAAACCTTTATGCAATTATTGTTAATACACAGATACCAAAACCATTGAAATTTAAGATGGAGTAAGAATATGTACATAATGTTTGCTAGTATCAATTAATCCATTCTAAAAAATTATAACAAAATTAGCCTTTACTGAATACAGATGTTGTGGTAAAGAAAATGCTAAAACAATTCAAAATTTCACTATTGATAATACTTCATATGATTGCAATCTTGAAATCAGATGTGTCTCATTAAATAAATAAGGATTATATGATCTAACCTTTCCTATGTCTTGTACACTTTTAATTAATGGCATTACAATAAAAGAGATTAGACCATTATAAGAAAAGTCAAGTTTAAAAAAAAGGAGGGATTCCTCAATTTATATTAATCTAAAAGATCTATTAAAATAAAATAATTTTAATAAGAAATTTGCATTCTCAATTATAGAACATATACCTGATTAGACATATCGTAAAGAAACAATAGGTGCAATCTATTGTTTTGGTTTGTTTTTAGTTGAACCATTGAATGTGATTAAAACAATTGAATAATTTAAATAACGTGATATTTAACCAAAGATCAAAGCAGATTAAAGTAAAAAAGAAATATAAGTTGCTAAAACAATTATAAGTCTTTATTGTTAATTCACATTAGAATTAATCTAGATACCAGCAAAGTAAATAATAATATTTAATTTTCTTAGAGGTGAATTTTGTTAACATGAATAATGTTTTTGTTTGCGTAGTTATCTAGAAATGATGATTAAAGTAGAACATAAAAAATGGATTTGTCCAATATGTAAAAAAGTATGTTTCCATTTAATGATTGATAAATATCAGTTATTTATTATTGAAAGAATCAAACAATTAGAAATATCTGTTGATCAGATAGTTTTAGATCATAATGTATTATATTGAAATTAAATTAGGGTTAAATGGATAAAGATGAATAAATTAATATAATATTGTAAGATCAATCAATTAAATCATATTAAGATATAATTGATAGAGGATACCAAAATATTAATAAAATCAACAAAAATGAAGATGAAGATGATTTACCTATTGTAAATAATGAAGGAAAGACTTAAAATTTTGCTATCATTTTAATTGATGATTGAAAATTGATTTCTTTTAAATTTATACCAAATATAAATTGCTGATTATTTAATGTTTAAAATGTCATAATAATACATCATTTTCTTTATCCTTCTCCTCAATTATTGATTTTTGATTCTCTTAATTATAATATGATGACTAATTAACTTTATTTAATTCAATTTTTTAACTATCATTATTATTTTTATCATTATTGTTTGTATTAGTATTATTTAAATTAGAATTTTTTACAAATTCATAATAAGGATCAACTTCATGTTCTATTTTAATTTTACCTAAATCTTTTTATTAATCTAGAAATGTAGTAATTTCTGTAAATTTCAATTTAGCTTCTCTTAATTCATTATACTCAAGAGTATCTACTTTAGAATCTTTGAAGATAAATTAAATAGTGTAGTACTCAACCGATTTATGACCTTTTTTAGTTATTCTTATATCATCCAATTATTCCAAATCCTTAATTATTGTTATTTTACGGCAAAAGAGAAATGGATTCATTCTTTCGATTAATAAGATTTGATGAGTTTTGTGTATTTCATATTTCATTCTATCAACAGTAGTTAAAAATACAATTCCCAAACTAAAATGAAGATTTAAGAAATAGAATACATTGTCATTCCAATAATAATCAAAAATCTCCACCACAAAGTTAAATCTCCTTTATCATACTTAAGTAATATGTATAACAATGATATTCCTGAAGATACAAATACCATTCCTAAAAACCATGCTCCTTTTGGATATTAACAAATGCTATAAATATTCTTTTTCTTCAATTAAGATTAGAATTTTTGTTGATGATCCAATAAGTATTAATGTGGCAACTTACCTTTTTAATCAAACTTTCTTTTTGCATATAAGGCCATAACTCCAGCTTTTCCTAGAAACATTTTTATAATAAATTTGATAAATATTAATAATGGATTATCATTTTTGAAGCTTTCCCATATTCCATTTGCCTTAAATAGATTGTCCATTTTTATATGAGTAAGTACCAAAGCCATGTATTTGACCATCTTTAAATGCCCCAATATATTTATCACCATTACTTAAAGAGAGAGTTCCAAAGCCATCTCTATTATCTCTTTTAAAAGCTCCTTCATATTTAATCCAACATGTAATATTTGTTAGATTATTATGATCTAATCCAGAGATCATTGGTATTTAATCTTAATTATATTCTACTCCTTGACCATGATATTGATCATCTGTCCAATTACCATCATAGATTACTTTGCCTTGAGCATTATACAATACTCCTTTTCCACTCATTTTGTTATCCTTCCACATTCCATCATAATAACTTCCATCATTGTGAATAAATTTCCCTTTTCCATGTCTTAAACCATTCCTCTTCATTCCTTAATATCTTGATCCATTGGGATATCTTTCTTTTACATTTTCAACTATTATAAATGGTCAAAAGAGAATACCTAAATCTTTTTATTTAGTTGGTTCATTTCCAATAAGACCTAATACATCATATTAATCAAAAGTATTTGGTTCTCCTAAAAGTTCTTATCCTCCCCCTCCAATTAATTAAGATACATCTTATTATTAATACTATTATTCAATCTACTATTCTTGAGGTTAATCTAAGATTATTTATACTGGACTAATAGATTGTTTACATTTTGGATTTTTATCTAATCTTTCAAATAATTATTAAGCATTTGGTCTTTATGATACTTTAACAGTTAACATATCTTTAATAATATAAAAGAAGAAATCATGACATGAAATTTTAATGGTTTACAAATGAGATGAAATCTTATCTTCAAATATTACTCCTTAATCATAATCATAACATAAAGATGATTATTTACCACTACAAAGTTATAGAAATACCATTCCTAAAGAATAGATATCTGATTTAAACCAATCAACATTTGGTTCTTTATTTCCCTTATCTAATTCACTTACTAATTCAGGAGAAAGATAGGCTATTTTTGAATATTTCTGTTTGTCACTATATAATTTTTGATAATCATTTTTATGATCAAATAAATGAGGATCAGCAATTTTGTATTTATCTTGTGTAATAAAAATATTTCTCATCCTCAAGGCTTAATGCATAATCCCATTTTAATGCAAATAATTCAAACCATTTATACATTAGTAAATTATTGGATAGAATTCATCTTGTTAATAAGGGATTTTATTTTCTATTCTATATTGGAATTCTGAAGCAAAATCTGTTAGAATATAATCAAAAATTAAAAATGATTTATAAATTGATGTACAGAATCCTTCTTCTTATCTTGACATATATTCATTCAATTATACAATGTTATCATTTTATAACAATTTACGTTAGAGGAATTATTAATTCTACTCTTCAAAATCTGATTGATATAAAAACTCTTAAACTTTTAATATTGCAAGTATTTTTGTTTGTTTATTCTCTAAAAGAATGACATCTCCATACCATTCATCCAAGTAATGAGTCTTATGTTCATAATTTTGTAATTTTTATTGAATGTCAGGAGTTGATTTATCAAGAATCAAACAAGGATTAGTATTACATTACAAACATTATCCAAATCCTTGACATGAACATATAGCACAACAACTTCTAAATTCATCTCTCATTGATGTACAACAGGGTCTCATACAAACATAACATTATTCACAACCTTCACAACAATATTATGCACAATCAGACAATCCCTTCCAACCTTAGGTAATATGATGATTTATAATTACAATGTTCACAAGTATTCCCCATACTGTTATAATTTAAATATATATATATATATTTTTATAAATAAAATTATCATCCAATGCACAAAAAATTATCTATTTTATTATCATAGACAAACTGTAAAAAGATTTAGATAATGTGTCTAAATTCTAATACAAGCATGGATATTACTTAACTTACTAATTTACCAATAAAATAATTATTCTTATTCTAAATTAATTCATTATCTATATAATAATAACTATATCAATAATTACATATGTAGATATTATCAATGGTTGAAAACAATAGCAAAAATATAGATGTTATGAAAATTATGGATACTTTAAAAATATTTTCAAAAGGATTTTAAAAAGCATCGTAAAATGAATTGGAATTAAGTTATAAAGATTGTTAATTATAGAAAGCTTAATAATTATTTAGCGGTTAGATTAAAAATTTTAAGTATTAAAACTAAATATGATGATTTAGAAATTCAAAATATGAATCTAAAGATCAAAATTGATGAATCGAATTATCAAAATCAATTAAATTATCTTTAATTTTAATTACAAACTAAATTAAGTGGTGATTTATATCATAAATTAACTAATTAAGAATAAAGGTTAGAAATCATATTAGAAAGTGATTTCCAAAATGAATCTGATAATACACCTAAAAAACATATTTATTGGTAAATATGATATGAAATTGTTTGGTTTTTTCTAATATTAAGTTGAAAATTTCATTAAATAAATTTGAGAACATAACAGATTTAGTGAAAGAATGTGAAAGATAAAAAAGAGAATTATAATTGGAAAATTAGGAAATATTTCGATTAACTGAATAATATAAATCATTTCAACAATCAGTAAGATAGGGCTGAATGGATTCAATAAGATGATAAATAAAATGATCCAACTAAAATTATTATTCTATATTAAGTATGCAATAATCTAGAGCATAGAATAAACGATCTTAAACTAGAATTTGATGATATCTAAGAATAAGGAACTCCTGTATTTACTTAAAAATTGATGGAATCTACTCAGAAATAAATTAAGGAATTCATTCAACTAGTTAACTTCCTAATATTTATCATTTAAAAACTTTTCAGAAAAACTTATATTATGCTTAAATAATGAATATCCTTATAATTGATAGAAATTCTTGAAGAGTAGATGCAATTCATTGATTATAATTTTAAACATGTTTTTATGTGTCAAAATAAAAGGTTGTGGATATTATATACATAAATGAGGATTCTTTATTCAAGTAATAATGAACGAGTCTTAATTAATAAAGGATCTTTTAGTGAAGTATTACGATTTTAAAAGCCTATACAAAAAAGTGATTATAATCTCTTATGTAAGAATACTAATAATATTGCCATGTATACAAATCAATGTGTTCTTTATTCAATCTTTAACCAGAATCAAACATTATTAGGTATCTTAGAAATAAGTATTTCTGTAAATGATTACTTTTCTTTTGATGAAGAATATTATGGTGTAATATTGGCTAAGTTGTGAGAATAATTGATAAAAATTTAAATAAAAACGAGATTATTTTCAGTAACACTGAAATTTGATTCCATAGTTAAATGCCTTCGATGATTTTCTATTAAGTAAAACCCAATATGAATTATATAAATAGAAGATATTGGATGTAGTCAATCTTAACTATTTCAATGATGGCCTTTTATTTTTTTAAGCACAATTCATTTATTACTTATCAAACAATTGGTACTAATTGTGATTGTATGACTCATAAAAATGCAATTACTTAAAGAAGAGTTTTAGTCAACCAATTATTTTAAGTAAAAAAGTTATTGCAAAATTAGTTTATATCGCGAAAAGGTATATATGCTTACCAAATTACTAAATTAATAGTAATGAACATGAGAAAATCAATAGAGTTTGATGAAGCAATAGTTTTGGATCCAATTTTGCCTGTTCTAATATAACTTATTATTTATGATAATTATGTTATAGCTGTATTTGAAGTTCCAATTTAATAAAGAAATTTTCTAAAATATGAAAAAGGTAAAATTATGCTTTGCAGTTCGACTATTGTTGGATTGGATTAATGTCTTGAGATGATGGCAGCTAAATTTCGAACCACTATTATGAATGCAATCAATATATTAAAGCTGTAATGAAGTTTATATCTATCTAATCATTATTATTCTTCATTTAAACAATATTCTAAGGATTGATCATTTAGTATTAACTAATGTATCCTTTTTATTAAAGTGTAATAATAGTATTGGCTTCAAACCTAAGTTTATAGAATAAATATGTACAATAAAATAATTTAAAAAAATCATTATTAATCAGTTTGGTTAGTATTTGGAATAGTCCATGCTCGTATTTCGAAATTTTAGTTCATTAATTTCTCTTTGATTAAATCTCTGGATTTAAGTTTTGCCTTTTCTTTTAATGGAGATCTAAAGCGATTGTTTTTTAAAGGTAATAAAGAATATCTCCTTTTTGTGTCTTTTAATCTTGAATAGCGACTTAATGTTTATGAGTTTCCAATACAGTTTCGAATAGAAGATCTAACAGAAAGTAGATTTGATGTTATTTCAATATCATCGTTCTTTCTAATATCCTAAATTTAGAATTTGTTTTTCCTAATAGATTAATGCATTTGATTTTTTATTGAGGCGATCAATACATTAAGTCCATCTTCATAACAATTAATCTTGAACATTATTATAATTTATGAGAAACTGAATTAATTGTATTTAAAGATTAAATCAAACAATTTATGGAATATATTATTAGTATAATTTTAATATTTAATGTGGAATCAATTTGTTATATATTTGAATATTGAAAATTCTGATTTTCTTATTTTAATTTAAATAAATTTGTGTTTTTATATTGGCGAAACTTCATATATTCTCTAATATTATTTTTTACAATAAATTATAAATTATATTTTGATATTTCATAATGTATGTCTATGAATTTTAAAGAAAAGCAAGAGAATATCTCCTTGGCTAAAAATTATCTTTGAAATCAATTACACAAAAATATAACAAAGACAAATTAGAGTAATAAAGATCGTTCAAGCAAATGTCATCTATACTAAATTCTAAAACTGAGTCATCTGTCATAATTACAGATTCTTTGATAACTGCGACAAGAAATTAGAAGAAAGAAAAGGCTTTTTTAATCAGAAAGTCACCTGATAATTATAAAAATTAAATAGAGAAAAAGAAATATAACTCAATCTATGCAAAATAAATAACACCTGTGAGATAAATGAGCATAGCTGAATACATTTATCCTGAACCTATCAGACATGTACGGCATAAACAAATCACTTAATCTTCAGCTTTCAAAAATTTTGTTGCATAAAAGCATATTAAAACTGAAGATTCTCCTCATAAGTAATTTATCACAGCAAGAATTAAGAAACCTTTCTAAAGATATGTGAGTGAAACTAGTAAGCAACCTTAACTTATAGCAAATCAAAATTTATAAATGGAGCAACTACGAAAATTAAGTGGATGGAGTATAAATAGTAATGAAAGCAAATTTTGATTTATTTTTTCCTTTTCATAAAGCTATTCTCCAACAAGACTGTATAAAAAGGTTATTAATTAATATTGATTTCTAAAATATGTATAATATCATATTCAGAATGTACTAATAATTCTTAATTTTTCATAAATGCACATCTGCTCCCTCAATGAAATGAGTCTCAGTTGTTATCATTATGACATAATAAATATTGAATATCAAAATATTAATATTCAAATTCACTTTAATTATCCAAATTATGGGTTTCAATTCAGAATCTTCCATACTTCATATTTTCAAATAAATATGTGTATTTAATAATTACATAATTATTTTACATAAAAAATAAGTTTGAAATATTCTAAATATTTTGAAAAATTGTTTATACTCTCATAATTAATGATGATAATAAAACATATATTTAAGTATTANATTTAATGTGGAATCAATTTGTTATATATTTGAATATTGAAAATTCTGATTTTCTTATTTTAATTTAAATAAATTTGTGTTTTTATATTGGCGAAACTTCATATATTCTCTAATATTATTTTTTACAATAAATTATAAATTATATTTTGATATTTCATAATGTATGTCTATGAATTTTAAAGAAAAGCAAGAGAATATCTCCTTGGCTAAAAATTATCTTTGAAATCAATTACACAAAAATATAACAAAGACAAATTAGAGTAATAAAGATCGTTCAAGCAAATGTCATCTATACTAAATTCTAAAACTGAGTCATCTGTCATAATTACAGATTCTTTGATAACTGCGACAAGAAATTAGAAGAAAGAAAAGGCTTTTTTAATCAGAAAGTCACCTGATAATTATAAAAATTAAATAGAGAAAAAGAAATATAACTCAATCTATGCAAAATAAATAACACCTGTGAGATAAATGAGCATAGCTGAATACATTTATCCTGAACCTATCAGACATGTACGGCATAAACAAATCACTTAATCTTCAGCTTTCAAAAATTTTGTTGCATAAAAGCATATTAAAACTGAAGATTCTCCTCATAAGTAATTTATCACAGCAAGAATTAAGAAACCTTTCTAAAGATATGTGAGTGAAACTAGTAAGCAACCTTAACTTATAGCAAATCAAAATTTATAAATGGAGCAACTACGAAAATTAAGTGGATGGAGTATAAATAGTAATGAAAGCAAATTTTGATTTATTTTTTCCTTTTCATAAAGCTATTCTCCAACAAGACTGTATAAAAAGGTTATTAATTAATATTGATTTCTAAAATATGTATAATATCATATTCAGAATGTACTAATAATTCTTAATTTTTCATAAATGCACATCTGCTCCCTCAATGAAATGAGTCTCAGTTGTTATCATTATGACATAATAAATATTGAATATCAAAATATTAATATTCAAATTCACTTTAATTATCCAAATTATGGGTTTCAATTCAGAATCTTCCATACTTCATATTTTCAAATAAATATGTGTATTTAATAATTACATAATTATTTTACATAAAAAATAAGTTTGAAATATTCTAAATATTTTGAAAAATTGTTTATACTCTCATAATTAATGATGATAATAAAACATATATTTAAGTATTAAAAATACAAACTAATATTTTACAAATATACTTTAAGGTTATAAAATCTATAAATTTGTAAGAAAGATTACAACATAATTATAAAATTTAAATGATTATGAAAGAATTAAATTATTTTACAATTTAACTCCCTTCTTATTAATAAAGTATAATACCTTTATCTACATTAATTTTTAAAAATTATTAAAAGTAAATATTTTTATTTATGAATTATTAATTAAAACAATATTGTTTAACTTTACAATACAATAAATTATTTGAATGTAAATAGGTTTTCAGTTGAAATTTTTTTATATATCAATTTTTTATCAATATTTTAACCGAAAATGCTACCAAAATTAACAGCTAATACCTATTTTAAAAGTAATTTCAATCTAATTTGCTGAATTTACTTAGGATTTAATATTAAAAATTATGATATGTTATATTTTGATTAATAGTTTTGGTGCAAATTTTGAGGATCAAATTATAAGATAATATATAATTGATGTTTTTCTCATTAAATTTTTAATTTTAGTAAATAACTTAATATTTTTATAAAAATTTCAGGAATAAATTATTAGTGTTAAAAACCTTAATTCCAATAATTCAAAATTTGTCTTCAATAATAATTAAAAGTTAATGTTAAAATCAAGTGCATTTAAATAAATTTATTGGAAAATGTATAAATGATATAAAAATATTCAAAAATAACGAAACAATATTATAAAAAATAACTAAATAAAATCTAGAAAAATCATTTATAACATCCGATAGTTTTTGCATATTTAAATTTAGTTAAACTTAAAAATAAACATATAATTCATTCCATTTCATTATTCAAAAATTGTAAATATAAATAAATATTTTAAAAATATAATTTATAATAAAAATTTAAAGAAGAAATTTATGAAAATATAATTCATTCCATTAAATTATTAAATAATTATATATTTCAATAAATATTGATAAAATATAATTATAATCAAAATGTAAAAGAGAAATATATGAAAATATAATTCATTCCTTTACATTATTTAATAATTATATA